AATTAATTTGGCCCTGTGTATGATAGTAAAACATATCTAAGTACTTCTGTTCTTTGCATTGATTAATTTGTTTTATGCACTCTGAACAAATTTTATTTAGTCTGTTATAATAAAATGCTTTTTGAAAAGAGCATTGAGATGCTTTTATATTTAACACTTAATTTTCTACTCCTTTAAGTTCTAAGTCTTGAAATTACTTGTTTATTGCTGATGGAAACTAGAAGGCTGATGACAGCCTTCCCAGTCAGAGATGTTCCCACCTGCCAGTCACACCAGTGAGAGGCTCAGTTGCTGTGCTCTGCCTGAGTCTGGAGCTGCCCGTCCTGTCTGCACACTGCAGGGGCTCGGTACTGGCATTGTCAGAGCCCTTCTCCACCTTCCCTGGGCAGGGACCACCTTGCATCCCAGCACTGAGATGAACATTCCAGGATGGCTGCTCCATTTGTGTCATGGGAAGATTCCCACAACATGGCCTGATTCCCCGGGGTATTTCATGGCCTCAAAGTGAGTTGTCTCTTCCTTCGCAACGTACCAGTGCTTTGCAGTTTTTGGTTGGAGCAATCTATAATGCTTCTTCTGAATCTGTTACTGGGGTAGACTAGGCAACTGTGGCAGGTGGCTTATCACATAGATATCAGTGTGGTATAGCTGCTTGAAATTTAAAAAGCAAATTATTGTAGTTTGGTTTGCAAATGTGAACTTTTCATTACTGGTTCTTTTGAATTTTTCTTTCTTTAGTACAGCTCCAAAAGAGTACATATTTTGTTTCCCAAAGGAATCTGCTTGTTTAAAACGTGAACTGTAATGTTTGGATAATTACTACCAGATTGGGCAATGTTAGCTTATTTGGACACACATACTTAAAACCCGTTTTCTGCCCTGATTTGCTTTTTTTTATGTTGAGTAACTGTTGAAGGACTTGCAGCTTCAACATTGAGGAAAAACTTACAAAAGGTGATTAGGACTTTTTGACCAGGCACAGCCTATCTGTGGCTCTCAAAGCCTTGATTTGCAGGCAGAGAGAGCATGGGGCTCCCATTCCAATATCACCCCACCTGGCCAGGAGCAGGAGTGTGCTGGGAAACCTGGAATGGTTAGTCTGGCTAGTTGCATATCCTCTCAAGGAAATACAAAGTTGCCAGTTTGCTGTAAAACTTCATGCTCTTGTATTTGTGGTCTGCAAAGATGCTGTGGCATACTTGAGGAATGCCCAAGTGGCTCAGAACCTGATGTCTTGGAGGTAACTTGGGTCTGTCTTATGTGAAGATTTGATATAGGTATGTAGCCAGGAAGGCTGTTTGTTTGTGTGCTTGGTACAAATATCCCTCTTGCTCATCTGGAATGTGGACTTTTGTAGAGCTTCCTGCTTTCAAAGCAGAGCAATGGAAACTGTTCAGACAGTGATACATCCTCACTCTTGTTTGTATCTAAAATGACCCTAGGCTGGTCTGTTTGAATCTCAGGCTGTAGCAAAAACAGCTAGTTGCCAGGAAAAATACTCTTAAGTCTGTAATTGGGCTGCATAACTGCCAACAAAACAAACAATGACAAACTTCATAATTTATTCCATTCCTGACTTGGTAGTTTTTGTCATCTTGAAGCTGTTGTGTTCTTTAACCTTCTACCTTGGGCCTCACCTTCCCAAGTGTCTTTGCTGTGGGGCGTATGTCTACCTGAACTTGTCCAGTTTTGAAAATGTGAAGGATTTTTTAACTGGCTAATTTTCCTCAGAACAAGAAATGTCCAGGTCTCCCTCGTTACGCTGAGAACTTTTTGTAACATTCAATGGCAGAGGTGCACTGCTCTAATGTTGCCTGTGGCAAATGTTTTATCCCTAAACTCTGTTCTTGTTCTTTCCGCAACTTCTGTGTTTATGGCAGGGGGGAGTTTTGGTTAAAATGCGACCTGCAATAGATTCCATGTAAAAAAGAAAAAAATAGGTACCAAATAATCTACCTGATCCTCACATAAATTCATAAATTGTACCAGAAGAAACTGTAAAGGGGTATGAAGATAACAATGCCAAAATATCTGGATAACAATGCCAAAATTGCTCGATCCTGTATGCGCCAACTTGGTTCTGCTCTTCCAATATCTGGTATGGATTTTTCAACTAGAATCATGCTAAGCATAAGCTGGAAGGTTGCTGGATATTCCAGCCCAAAGCATATGCATACCTGTCCTTAAATTAGATACTGAAGATAGGCCCTTACTAGATTATTCAAGTACTTTTGGTATTTTACTGCCTTTAGATTTCAGATTTTGGAAACTTTAAAGTTTTGTTGGGGAAACCCCCATACCTGCAGCTTCAGTTCTCTCAGAACTTAGATGAAAGTGTACTAAGTTAACTGCTAGTCAGTCTGACTACTTTAGATGGCTGCTTATCCATATGAGCAACTTGGTCTTCTTATTTCAGGCTTACCTTTTTTCTGAAGGTATTCAAGAGCAGGAGGTGAGGATACAAACCCATCTGGATTTTTTGGATTTGTTAAACTATGAATGGGCAAGATGAACTGAGGCAACAGGTTAAACACTACCAGTAAAAAGCAACAGGGCTTAGGAGCAGCAAGAAACATGAAAAAGATTACTAAGGCAGTGTTATTTGATTTTGGTTTGGATTTTTAGTCTTAGCCCCTCGTTAGTCCTTAGTATAATGATCGTACATACCCTTTTCACATCAAATTTCTTTAACTGAAAGCAAGTACAAAAAGTGTAGACCATGAAGAATCCAATTTGGAAACACTAAACAAAAATGTTTGCATGTCCAGAGGATCTGCGGCATGATACAGCCACTGGGGAGAATTTGAGATCTTTTCCTGACAAAGTGGGCTGGAAAAAAGCAGGTTGTGTCCCAGTGTACAAGGATGCAGCTCAAGTAACTCACTGTAGCATTCCCATTTTCATCATCAGATGCTGTGTCCATAGTGGGAGCACTGAAGTTGAACAGGAGTGAGATGACTCATCTCTCCCTTCCGAGCAGAGAAGCAGGGAAGAGCAGGGCAAGTCCTTTCAATAACTGAGCTCTCTGCTCTCCTGAGGATTTACTGTGGAGGTGAGGTGTGGTTTTCAGTCTCAGCCCACTGACACTGTAAAAAGCCTCTAAGTGCTTAATATAAAACTGCAACACAGCTGCTTAATAGACCTATCAAAGTGTAGTGTCCAAAGAATTGTTAAGACTGCTTAAATTGAGTGATTAAAGGGGAATCTTTCTCATACAAGGTCAAAAATACAAATATTTCTGGTAAAGGGCTGGCAGTTTCTTCTAACCAGCCTTTACAGCTGCATAATAATTTCCTAAAACTTGCAAATGAGTGCATAGCATAAAAATTACTCATTTTGATTAGTCTTGTGTCAGACCTTAATACATGACTGGGCTTTGGGTGCTTATTCTTTCGAGTTTTTCTTAAGAATGGTGTATTTTACTGCTTTATTTGTTCTGCAGACATGCAGTGACTATTCCCTGCCTCCAGGACGGGATGCTCTTAAGATGTAAGCCTGTGGTCAGGCTGCAGTGAGAGTGACCGAGGGCAAAGGGGGAGTTTGCTGTAAAGGTGAGGTTCTCCCTGGGGAGAACCAGCTGTGGGTGTGGCTCGACCACTCTTACAAATTCATCTATTGTGCTCAGTTGTGGCTAAGTCTGTGGATTGCAGGGTGAGTTTCAAGCTGTTTGTGTGCACCAGGGCTATTGAACCTAAGCCTGGGCATTGACAGCAGCAAAGCTGCTGTATCTGTGGCTCTCCCATTCAGTTTAGGCCTCCTGTGGCTTATTTTTGCATCAACAAATTAAGTGTGAAAGCAGCGTACAGCAAGCTCCAAACAGCTAAAAATACGCTCGGTTGTCTGCAGAGAAGGGCAGTGTTCCCTCGGTGATCCCGGCTGCCGCCGGAGCAAGCGGAGATCGATCGATCTAATGTCTGGGCTCGCCTTTCATAAAAGAAGGGCTGTGGCTTTAAGTAATCGCTGGCTGCTTGTGCCAATTGCAGAAGCTGCAGTATCTGCCGCTGTCGGGAGCGCTGGGCGCGGACGCAGGATAACCTGCGGAGGCAAGGTCCAGCCTTGGCGCTCGGCCCCGGCCAGACCTGCCCGGCTCGGTGGTGCCGCCGCCACCCGCGCGTCGCCGATGAGGGCCGGGGGGCCGAGCGGGGGGCTGCCGGCGCTGGAAGATGGGCTGCTCTAGCAGCAAGCTGTGCCTCTATTCTCAGTGTGCTGCAGCAAGGGTAATGAGTGCTTGTTTCGCAGGGAGCCGGCCGGGCGCGTGGACCTCGTCACCTCCGCGCGTGGCGGGAGGCGGTGACCGCCGTGCCCGAGCGGCTCTGCCCGGCCGTGCCCGGAGCGGCTCTGCCCGGCCCGGCCCGGCTCCGGGGCACCGCGGCCTGGCCGCCGCCTCCTGGCCAGGGCACAGCTCCCGGGGAGAGCAGCGAGATGGGTGCTTCTGCTTTGTTGTGGTCTGTTCACACATGCCTTGTGATTCTCTCCGTATAAGAAACACCATCTATCTTAACATTAAGAACTGCGAGCGGTGGGGTGGGTTGTATTCAACTTCGAACAGGGCTGTGCCTTTTCTTCATGGAAGACTAAGCATTTAGCAAAGTTGATGGTTTTCTGTTTGAGTAAGCTTAAGATAAATATTTAATGCATGCTTCTTTCACATAGACACTTCTGTGCACTTGACATCTACCAGACCACTTGATTTGTTCTGAAGGCTTATGTTGTTACACCCACCATAAAATATATAATTAATTGCTGCAAAGTAGGATTTTAATTGCAGAGCTGTCCTGGAAAAAGCTGTTCTTTGTTTTAAAGTATAACTTCCTTAACAACAGAAGAACATCTGTGTATATTGTAACAGCTGAACTGTTATCCTAAATGAGTCATATCTTGGCTTCTTGTTCCTGCCTCTTGTTTTTCCTACAGAACACATGGAAGTTAATTATTGGAGGGTGCCCTGCTCAGACCACTAGTAACCAAACATTTGGGGTGTTTTGTTCTTTTCTCTGCAGAGGGAAGAAGCACTGAAGCAGCGGAAAGCGTTATCTCAAGAGCTAGTTAACCTTCGAGGAGAACTAGGTAAGAATTTATTTGTGCATTGATCATGAGAACAGAAATGCGGCAAAGCAGATCTGCAGAAGACAGATGCCCTGGTACTGTAATGGCAGTCATTTAATTCCCTGACTGAATTCCGCTCAGATGCTGTAAGTGCTGCAGAGCCCTGACAGCATGACCCCAGGTTCACCGAATTCCTGGCACTGATCTGACTGTGCCTTGCAGGGCCTCCTTACAAAACATGTGTTGGTGACCAAAGCACTCACTTCTGAAAAATGGGAGGATAGCTGACAGCATACATACTTCTGCTTGATCCCTAACTCATTTGTATGCTGTCTTCTAGAGATTTGCTGGGAAAAAAATTCATAAACCTGTAAAACATACTGTGCAAAATCTGCATTTTTGCCTTAGTGACCTGTGGGTGAATGAGTGTAAAATTAACAGAAGGAAATGCTTTCAGGCTGATGAGATTAAATCTTTGAACTCATCCTAGTGGATGGCTATAACATAAAATTGAGCTATTATGTGCAGGGGCTGGTTTTGCCAACTTTGAAGCTTGATTTAACTGCATTTAGTGGTAGCTCCATGTAATGTATTGGATCTTAGCAGATGATCCAGGCAGGTCTCAGTAGGGGCTGGCTTTGAAAGAGCCTGGCCTTCCCCCGCCCTTGCCCTTGCATCCCTTTGTCCTCCTTGTGCCAGCATTGCTGCAGGGGCAGCTATGTCCCCACCAATGCAGTGAGCTGCCTGGGGACCTAAGCCAGCTGAAACTATTGGCTGGTAGTGCTGTTTTGCCAAAGCTGCCTGCCCTGACTTCAGTACGTGACTGAAAGAATACTGGGACTGGAGCAGAAAAAGAGGAAGGAGTAGCAGTGTGCAAGGGTGGTGTCCCCCATCAGCTGCAACTGATGTTTCTATTACCCTAAAGTGACAACAGGACTGGAGTTTTAATGTGGAAAAGGCCTTCTTGCATCACTTAGAAGTTGTGTTATAAACTTTATAAATCAGATTTCTTTTTATTTATGTACTTAATGTGATTCTCTGAGCAACCCCATTGTTTACCTCAAGGAAATTACTTCAGAAGGATTGTTATCAGAGCAAAGAAGTCTCTTTCCTTCTCTAGGTTTGCATCTTTAACATTATTTTTCCTTTATCATCCTAGGTACTATGTTTATCACATATCTAGAAAGGGAAAATTCTGCTTAGATGGGTAGACCAAAAGCTGGCCAACACTTTTGCCCGTTACCACATTTGAGGGTTTTGGTGGGGTTTGGGTTTTTTTTTTTTTGAATGCTTAGCTCTTTGTAAGGATGCCTCATGCTTAAGTGAGCTTTCCATAAACTTGTTATCTTCCTGCTTTGATTAGCAGCCTGCTGAGCTCATAAATTAAACTCCCTTTGCAAGCATGTGCCATTCAGTAGGGTGATAACTAGAAAAAAACCTCAAATGCAGCTGTGTCTGATGGATGTGTGACACCTGAATGGCCAGAGCTCTTAGGGATGCTGGCTGCTACTGTCAGCTGTTCCCCTCACAGAGCTGACCTGAAAAAAACCTCAAATGCAGCTGTGTCTGATGGATGTGTGACACCTGAATGCCCAGAGCTCTTAGACAGGGATGCTGGCTGCTACTGTCAACTGTCCCCCTCACAGAGCTGACCCTCCTGGGTCAGTTCTGCAGGAGCATCTGAATGGCAGCCTGGGGCTCACTTGCCTTTGTAAGGGGAAGCATTATGGTTTCATGAAGCATTTATTTATCTTCATGCAGCTCCTTTGTCTTAACCACGTCACACGTCTAGCCTGTCTGTACTGCTCTCCTCAGCATGTAAAGGGAGTGAATTTAATTACAGAAGTGAAAAACTATCCACGTCTTCAATACTATCTACCTTGAAAAAGAACTTGGTTTGGGGTTTTTTTGAAGTTAATAATTTGTTGACAAGGTGTGAGAAAAGCATTCTTAAAACAGTAGCTTTAGCTGAAAATAATCTGCTTAAATACATACCTGCTAATCAGCTTTCTGTTGACACTGTTAAATTGATACAGTTGTACTTAAGATTTCCATAGACTGTTTTGACGTAAGTACTGTGGATTTCCATTCAGTATTATCTAAGCATGCGTTTGCTGGGAAAGTTAAGTGCAGTTTGAGTCTTATTTTGGCCATGTAGATGTTTTGTGGAGTCCCAGCTGTCACGTTTTTAATGACTGTTGATTTGCGGTTTGGGGACAGGCAGTCTAAGAGGAATCAGGTGTGCACAGCCCAGTGGAGCCTGTTCCCTGCATGCTGCTGAGTTTGAGAGTATCCTGAAGCTTGTACAGTTTAGACATCTCAGTTTCTTACTTTGAAGTTTATCTGTGCACGTTCCCAAGCTCCTTGATTTACCTTGCAAGAACAAATTGACTTGCTGTCAGATGGTCTGTTTTGCTGGATTATTGTGAATGACCATTTCTACCAAAATACCTTTTTGTTTAATGGTTTAAGTAGTCATTCCTGTCCCAGAGGTGACTGTGCCAGCCAGGGGATGATGGTTACCAGATAATGCTTTCTACACTTAGTAGCTGGAAACACGGGCAAGGATTAGCAGTGATAGGTGTTTGGGGATGGGCTTTTCCAAAGGGAGTTCAAATTCAGTAACAGTTGGGTTCTGAACTTAGACTTCCTTAAAATCTCCAGCTACAAACACTAAACTCTGTAGTTTGAATGTAAGCACCATAGTTCAGGGAGCCTGGAGCAACCAGATGTCCTGCTTGTCCAACTCTTTCTTTTCTCAAGATGCAAGCTAGTGTGTAAACTTCTAGTTACTTGTTTAATTATGTCAGTAGAAATTGCAAGGGCTGCATGTTTCTTGAGAGGTATGAAACTATTCCTCTGAATCAATTGCACTCCAAATTGTTTCAGATCCTCCTTGCAACCATGCTGGATGTGATCCAGCTGAGTCCTGCTACAAAATAGCAGGTGCAAAGTTGACTCAGCCGGCGCCAACCTTGGCCCTTTGAACATTTCCATTCGTGAGCCTTTCTCCGTGTGTGTACCCTGGACAGGCAGCCAAATGCCAAACCCCTCTCTCTCACCTCCAGCTGCTGCATGGCAATTGATAAACTGTATTTCCTTCAGAATACCTTCATATTCTTTTTTTATCACTAAATTATTTTCAAGATGCTTTGAAAGTTCAGATAGAAGAGACTGCTGTGTTTTACAGTGAATGTGATTTGGTTTTCAGGTTAAGGTGATCCTTAAAAATATTTAATAATAGGTAGGTGCTTCTTTCACTTATTTGAGACAGGGCCTGACTTGTTACACTTCACAGACCTGCCTGTTTGCCTCCTTGAACACTCTGTCACTTGAGTTTGCAGCACAGGGGATGTGAATTTACTTCCCAGCAGAGAAGTGAGTGCTTCATGTTATTTATTCAATCCTACCTGCTTAAATGTTGCTTAAAGCAGGCTTTTTTGGCTACCTGCCTTGTCTAACTTGCCCAAGAACAAAAATATGCAATGTGGTTTAATGTCCTGTATAATTAGTCTCATTATGGAAGTAACACCAAGAGAAACCTGGTCATAAACTTGAAAGCATGTTTGGGTAGAAGAAGTTTCAATATTGAGAATCTGCCAATACCATGAATTAATTACTATCTAGATATAAAAATATGTGGTGTATAGAGAAGGAAATGAGCCTGTCTGTAGCAGACTTACTGGACAAGTGAACATACAGCTTGCAGTGTGAAATACAAGGTTTGAGCAATTAAGTGTTAGTGCAGTGTGGTATCATGTAGTACCAAATACTTGGGCTTTTTTTATGGTAATTATCCCCATTTCACATCCCCCACATCTATTAAAATCCTGACAGTTTACTGTCCTAGTGAACTCTGGTTTAGAATTTCAGACAGTCTAATGCCTTTTCATAAATCATAACTAGGCCAGTGAGTGACTTGGACAATTTTATAAAGATAACTACCATTTGCAAACCATTTAATTCAGGGTTCCAAAAAATCCATTGTATTTTATCTTAGAACTATGGTTATGGTAGCTTTTAGGGGAATGTAAGTTGAAAAATGTTTCATCTAAGCTGTTCAGCCATAAGGGCTGGATTTGGATGATGGTTTTATAATTAGAACAAGAAAAAAAACTGAAAGGAGATGCTGCATAATTTTAAGGTCCTATGTCTTGGCTATCACTTTTAATGAAAATACAAAATAGCTTTTTTGGAGATACAAAGGTAACTTTTGTAGTCCTCTCCTTCAGCTGCAGGCCCTGTTGCTGTGGTTTGGATGTGCTTCTGTTTGCACTATGCAGGGAGTTGCCATGTGCCTGGTTCTCCATGCTGCTCTTGCAGGCATTTGTTTTGATTTTTGCACTTAAAAAGCTTTGTAGTGAAATACCCAAGATGCAAGTGGATGATGTTAACTACTACAAATAAAGGGTAATTTTACATGTCAAAACCAGCATTTCTGCTGTTAAGATTTGCTGTTACCATATCTCAGAAACTTCCTATGATTTCTAAAGGTTGTGGTTGGGCCCAAAAGAACCAGGCTCTTCATTTATAATTAGAAGTGTTAAGAAGCCTAAAAACCCTGATTAATCTTGCTCCGTGCTGTACTGATATTCGGAGAGACAGTTGTATGGTTGGGAAGAGAGGCTGGGACAACCAAGTGGAGAAAAAATATTAATTTTTGCAGGGAAAAAATAAATTAATGGCTGTGCTATATGAATAAAGAAGTAAAAAGATTGTTTCTGCCTGCCAAGCATAGCATTCCGTATACACTATCCTTAAAACTGTTTAGTATTACAGGTAGAATTGAGCAAACTTCACAGACAAACAAATAGTGCATCTTTTCATCTCTTTGGCTTGATTTTTGCCTGCTGTTGGACCATTTGTTTCCTGTTGGGGTTTTTTTTTTCTTTTTGCTCAAGGTTTGTGGTCTAAAGATGCGGAATTGTGGAGAAAAGCACTTCAAGAAGGGAAAGGAAACACAGTATTAGTGTACAAAAACTCTGAAGTATGCACTTCAGGTATCTCTGAAGTGGACAGGAAGTTGAAATAGATTTGTGTGTTTGCTACTGTAAGAGCACATGTTCCAGTTACAAATTTTTCTTCAATGTTTAGCATGAGTTCAGTGAGAATACTCTTCATCTGAGCAGCAATCCAGTTTGGTTAGTCAGTGGCTAAATGAACAAATTAAGGAATTTGTGACAAATCATGAAAAAGGCACTTTGTTTAAAAAAAGCAGAGCCGTTGTAAAGTACATGATTCAGTCTGCACATGGATAGGGCTATGCAAAATACTTGCTGCACACATTTCAATCTCAAGTATTTAGACAAGCTTTGGTTTATGGGACATCTCGTAATTTCAAATTTACAATTCTTTAGTTGATATTTTTTGTGAAGTCAGAAAAAAACATGGTCAGTTTCTTGCACCACCATGATACTGGAAGCTCACTGGTTGTGTAGGAATTCTGCTTCTTCTTTGGATGGCAGGGATATAAGTCAGGCTTGTGATCTGCAAGGAGGCGTTGCAGCCTCCAGCTTTGTGGAGGCCAGAGTTACCTTTATGGTAACAGCTTTTAACTGCTAGTGCAATTTCAAAAGTGTTTTGTTTGCCTTTGTAACATTAGTCCTCTCATAAATCTGAATTGCAAACTGCCTGAAGGGGAACTGATGCGTCTGTTTTCTTTGACAAAGGCGTGGTTTGCTATTTGCTTTTTTTCTGAAGTGCTTTGCATCATCTGAAGTTCTGCATGCTGACATTTAAAGATAAGGCAACGATAGGCAGCACATTCTTCTGGCTAACTGGAGGCAAATTAATAGCTCTGGCCTTGCAAATAAAGAATTTGATGCTTCTTCCTCTGTTGGTTTTAAATGAAGTGGATCATTTGAAGCATTTTGCTACAGTTACCTCAGCTGAGCCATGCAAGTCGCCTGCCTCTCAGCTATGCCCTTACTCTGCTGTAGAAGGTCAGCTCCATCTGCACGTCGTTGGCTGTGTAATACCTCCAGTTGGCTTGCTGCCTGGTTCTTGGCATTGTAATATAATGTCCCCTAACAATGATGTTGCCTCTTCTCCAAAAACGTGGCAATGCAGAGTATATATATATATATATATATATATATATGTATATGTATATATATTCAATAACTTCATGCCCCTGCAATGTGGTAGATGTGTGAAAGCTAATTTTTTTTTCCTTTACCTAAGACAGCAGTTTTAAGAGAAGTTTGTGAAACTTCTAATAAAGATAAAAAGGAGAGCAAAAACTTATTTTGGTGCTGCTGCAGAAAGTAGTAAAAACTGTGAAATCTGCTTGAGTTTCATAGAATGTTGTGGTAGGTTTCAGTTGAGCGTCTGTTGCATCATTGCCAGTCAGGAAATGAAGAGCTTGGCCTAAATCTGTCCAGATCAGCACATCTTTTGCAGAGACCCGATATAGCTAAGCTTGCTGTTAAGCCTAATTCAGGTAGACACACATGTAGATTGATTTCCGTGCAGGACAGCTCGCTCTCTTAACACTTTCTCGTTCCACTACAGGTTCCAAGTGATGGTAGCAAGGCCAGGACTCTTTACAGTTCCCTTAAAAGAGAGTGAAAGTATCATCCATCAAGTTACTCACATGCTTTTAATGAGCTATAGCAAAGAAGAGTAAGGCACGTGTAACTTGAGGCACTTTGCTGGGGCAGGCTGCTTTCCACTTCAGTTGACCCATTACTACTTCGGGAATCAGTCCCTGAGGATACTGTAATTTATTTATCTTAAGGCTCAAACACTGTTGTGATGAGAATTTCCTGTACTGCCTGAAAAAATCCTTGCCTCTTCCCATGCTTTTACATAGAGTTTATATTTACACTGTTGGGGCAGTGTGCCAGTCTGCTGTGAAGTGCATGCATGCATGACTTCTCCTGCCTTTGAGGATCAAGTTAACATTTTAGTTGATTTTTCTCTTAAACAGGCACTCATCTGACTAATTTATTTTAAACCATAGCACTAGAGTCTGTATAGAACCGGTTTTGCACAAGGTCAGTAACCACACTGAGATGCTGTTTCACCTTGCTTCCAGGCTTTGGGTGCAGTGGAACTGCACAAGGCGTTTGCTGCAGTCATGTTAACAGTAGGAGGATGACTCCTTGTACACTGTGTGCTGTACACTGTGGCAGAGGTGTTTTTCAGGGAGGGGGTGGTGACGTGCTCAGATTTAAATGACATTGGATCTCATTGATTTAAGGGATGATGATTTCTATACTCCTTCCAACTCCACTTAATAGCTCAATTTTCAGTGATAATTTTGTCTTGAAGACTGGCCATGCTTCTATTGCTTTCAAAGAGCAAATTTCTCTGCATGGCATCTGAAGTAAGAAAAGAAATTTTTTTTAGAAGTTGGTGAGAGACACAATTTCAATTTTTCCTGTGTTTCCTTCCATAAACTGAACTTTTGTCAGATGTGACCTGTGCTTAGGAAGTCCATTTGTTGGATGCAGATGAATGCTCCCAAAACTGACAGGCTAATGAAATGCATATGTGAGGGGACAATCAGCAAATCTGAAGTGGGAATAAATCTGATACTTCATAAATGCTTTGCATCAGTTAATGATAAATGTTCTGTGTTGGCATCAACTGTATCCAAGCATGTATTTGTAGGCTGGATCTTCAGGCTGTTTCTTTTCAAAAAGAATTTTCACATCTTATGTGGTATTAAACATCTGCAAAAATAATTTGTTTTAGAGCTCAAGAGTACCCATGAATCGGAAAGGAAGTCACTTGAAGATTCCTTTAAAGAGAAGCAGGAGTTGCTGGAGGTTTGTTAAGGGCTGGGTTCATTTTAACAGTTTAAAACTTGAAAAGCAGTTTGGAGATGTGCACTGAATTCTTGGCCTAATGATACAATATATTTACATTTCAGAAAAAAATCGATGAACTAAAAAGTGAAAACAACTCTCTGAGTGAGAAGCTGAAACTAGAAGAACAAAAACAAATAGCCAAAGAAAAAGCCAATCTTGTAAGTCTTGATCTTTCAAAGTAATGTAGATGAACAGATCTTGCCTGGGTTTATTTTATTGTATAATGCAAAAAATTTGCAATGAAGCCTGACAGGGATCCCATACTTAGGAATTTTTTTTGTAAATGGCTCATCAGCCCAAAGTTTTTCGCAAGCACATAATGATGTGTATTAACTTTACCATTATAACTCTAAAAAGCTGTTGAGTATCTAAGTCAGGGGTGTAAATATTAGCCTAAGCTAAACTGAAGGCTCGAAGCACATAATGATGTGTATTAACTTTACCATTATAACTCTAAAAGCTGTTTTAAGTCAGGGGTGTAAATAATTGCCTAAGCTAAACTGAAGGCCCATGTGTGTACAGGAGCTGTACCATAGCATTTTTCTGGACAGTCGGTAACTGTTGTACCGGTGCTATGATCAGTGTGGTCTAGCATCACTACTGCAAAGCTCATTGCTAATGCATTTATTCAAATGTTGATTCTTACTTTTTGCTGATTTATCCTTCAAATAGAAACTTTTATTTTGTCCTGCCTTTCCTCCCAAGGCTGCTGTTGGTGATTGTGACCCTGGGATAGAAATGTGTTCTGAGAGAGGGTTTTTTTTATGTACCAGGTGGGAGGGTTGGACACAAACATGCTTATCTTTCTGGTTACCAGAAGTAAGTGGGATCCCAGTAGTATTGTTTATTCCACAAAAAGAAATTCCATGCTTAAAGACTCACTAAGGATGCCTCTAGTGGAAGTTGCCCTGGTTTTCACTGGAATTTGTTTTGTTTTGTTTTCTCTTATTGGTTATTCTAGTGGCAGGACGGATCTGCCACAAAAAGAATCTGCAACCACGGTATGTTGCTGTGGCAGCGAGACCTGGGGCTTTAATTCCACAGGCACGCTCAGATGTTGCTTAAATTAAAGGAGCAATAGTCAAGTACCTTTACATAGCTGCAAATGTGCTTTGTGCTTTCCTGGCAGCATAAGATGCATGATAAGCTTGAGCCTTCTCTTTGGAAAGGCACCAGTTTGACTCAGCATACTCTTCTGCACTAAACACACATTCTGCAGTATCAGAATTCCCACTAGCCCTTTCAAGAGAGTGATGTATTTCCACCTCTCTTCTATCATTTATGTAGTGTCACTTGATATTCCCAGGTTTTTTGATAAAAACTTATGTAGACTTTTCAGTCTTTTAATTTGGCTGTGTGTTCTTCTCTGAGTAGCTAATGTGGGGGCTCAGACTTAACTTTAAAAACACATTTTAAGACCATTGGAATTGAGGAGGCAAAGAAAATAAAGTCAATATTGAACATACTGTAACATTTAAACTTTTCAGGATGGCTTTTCTTGTTAGCTCCTAGATTCCATCTTAAATTCACAAAACAGGGAACAGATCATCTGCTGCCTTCACTGAGGTAGCACAGCATGCTTCACCCTCGCACAGACTGCTCAAAAGAAGTTAAACAAGAACCACTGCTGCAACAGGCCTTAAAAACAAGCAGGATAATGAACTGTGTAGGTGATGGAGCCCCTGTTACTTGTGACATGTCCTGGCTCTGTGCTTCTGGGACCACACCCCCCAAGACTGCAGGCATTGCCCTCCTCTGTGAGGTTTCTGGTGTGGCAGTGAAGCTGTTACTCAGTGTGGTACACCTGTGTTCTTACACAAATGCACTAAAACAAGTTTTGTTTGATTTTGAAGATAAACTTAAGTTACACAACATGCTTAATCATTGATTGAGTTCAGCTCAGTGTTCCATTCTCACTACCTGGAAATGGACCCAGACTTGCTTTATTTTCCCTTTTTTTTTTTGGCTCTGACTGCCTTGAAATGCAGAGAATGTGTTTTACTCTACAGTGTTTGAATGGTTTCTTACTCTGGAAAACAGGTCCTTGAGGCAACCACATCTTACCCTGCTCCGGCCTCCTCCTGCTCTCCCTTTCACCTCCCAGAAAACAATACAAAAAGGAAAAATAAAAAAAGTCCTAACTTGCTATATTGTAGATAAGTTATGGATAAGTGCAAGATTGGTATGTGTAATTGCATTTTCAGGCTTCAGAAGAATGTGAAGCTGAGAACTTTCAATTTCTGCTTATGAGCCAGCTACCTTCAGACTCAAACCAGGGAACATAAGCTACAGTCAAGTTCAGAACTTAAACTTCTGGTGCTTTATTGAATTGTTCCAGTGCCTGAAAACTTCAAATGTTTACTCTAATTATCTCTTGGGATGGGTTATGAGTAATATGAAATAAATTTTGGAACTCCTAGCCTTAAGGCCTTTGGGCACTCCTGCGAAACAAGTTTTGATGTGACAGCATTCATGCCTTCCTTTGATTCACAAGGGTTTTTCATGTCTGTGCATTAAGTGTTTTCTGAAAAACTTGTGATGAAGCAGCTGCAACTGTCCACCTACCCTGAAGGACAAACAAGAACCAAGGAGAAAGTGATATCAGATCTTGTTATTTATTCTAGTGTGAGACTTGATTTCACTTAGAACAAGTAACTCATTACCATAATTATTTCCTCTTTTTTTTCTAAACAGCAGAGAAATATCTAAATTATTCCTGAAATTCAGGGTACTAAGCAAACTCTCTGGCAATCTTTCAGAAAAACCCACAGATTATGTACCTGGAACAGGAGCTGGAAAGTTTGAAAGCAGTGCTTGAGATCAAGAATGAGAAGCTCCATCAGCAAGATATAAAGCTAATGAAGATGGAAAAGCTGGTGAGCATTCCTTGGGGTCTGGCAGGCTGGGGCTGTGTCTCTGACTTGTGTTTCTATAACAAACTTGGGCTGGATGGACTTAAATGCAAGAATTAATAGTTTTTGTTTGAAAGGAAACAGGAATTCATGATGGGATGTGCTTATATTGCAGGTACAGCTTTGGGATATATGTCATGAGGCAAAAAGAATGACCCAATGCTCTAAATGACCTTTTAACATCTTAAATACTGGTTTGCACAAACTATTGCTATGTTAGTACAGATTATCTGGGAGCCTCTTCCCCTAAAAAACCAAATCCTTACCTGCTACATTGCTGAAGTGGTATGGAAGATAGATTGCAGTGTCAGAAAAGCATTAAGAAGGAAATGATCCTAATTTAACAAGAAGGGGTCAAATATGAAATGGAGTAAGTCTTGATTAGGTTAGGTCCATCATTTTAGCTGTTAAGCTGCTTGTTTAGCTGCGTGATTGTCTTCCTGACCTGTGTGTAATTCCACATGAAAAGTCAATTTCAGAGGCAGGACTTGTAATCAATTAGCATGCTCTTATTTGTGACAGGACAAGGTCCTTCTCCTGGGTGGGGCCTTTGAACACTGTTGTAATACTTGCTTAAGCAAGACTTTAATGAGGAAGTATAGAAAGAGGTTTGGATACAAAGGAACACATTGATGTCAGTTGTTCAGTATTGTGCAGCAGCATATGTTACCCTAGTCCACAATTACTAGCAGATTGCTAGCAAACCTTCATCTTTTCCAACAGAAATTGGCCACAGTGTAGAAGGCCTTGGACCATGCAACCACTTAATCAGTTTTTCCTTTTATTTTTGATAACGCCCTCCAGCAGTGATGTGGAATCAGAAGAGCAATAGGAAAAGCTGTTTGCTCAGGGGAACTCTTGAATTTGTTGTGGTATTTCCAGACAGTCTTCTGTCTAGAAAGGCGCTACAGTGCCTAAGTGCCCATCACTGGCAGAAATTACTGCAATGTGCTGGTTGACAGTAGGTCCCTTACCCAGTCCTCCTTGTTGGCATCTAATCAGAACAAGTGGGCAAGTGCCAGTGTTATGCAAGGATAAGGTAAGTAGGATGTTTTTGTGTGTACTGTAACAAGCTCTGCAAACTCCAGATTGCCAACATCTCTGATAGCTCAGCCAGAATCTTGGTGAGTGCACGTATGGGTTTTATTTCAAATTGTGACCTTCTTTCCAAGGTGGAGAACAACACAATCTTAATGGATAAATTAAAGAAGGTTCAGCAAGAAAATGAAGAATTAAAAGCTCGGATGGACAAACACATGGAGCTTTCAAGGTGAAAAATATCTGTGGACATTTAGATGCCTTTAATCAGGGGGAAGGGGTTCCTGTGAGAAGAAAAAAAATTCTCCTTAAATATTGGTGAATGCAATTTTTTAGTACTCTGTGAAAGAACACATTTCTTCCCCACTTTTATCTCTACAAATGTGCATTCCTTTGTACAGTTAGCAAGCGGGAACATTTTGAAAGGGGATAAAGGTTCAGTATGTTCTTCAGTACCCCAGTATTTTAGGGAAGAAAAAGCAGTATCAGAAATACCATCATACAAAGATTGTCCATTTTAAGTACTACTGGCTTGTAAGCTAGACCTAGGTCATACTTATAACCACTTCAGTGAGTGATTTGTCCCCAGTTTAGATTGGTGTGGTTTATTTAGCAGTCACAGTAATATTTAACATCAATAAAACAGGTCTCAGCTCCTCCTAACAGTTGCTTAAATGGATGGCCAGACTCTTCCAGTGTGAAGGAATCTGTAGCTTCTGTGTTGAGCTGAGCCTGCAAGACCCAAAGGCTCCAGCACAGCTGTTTAAAAGCATGTGTTGTTTTAAGCCTCACTTTTCAGATGCTTTTTCAGGTCCTTAGGGATGTTTCTTACTGGGTCTTCCTCCTGCTTTCTGCAAGCTACCAGTTTAAATATAGCTAGGATGAGAACATGCTCAGTCCTCCTATTAAAGCTGGAATTCAGTTGTGAGCCAAGCAAAGGCTTATGAACTTTCAGACCATGCTTTAAGTTTTAATACTGCAGCCTCCAAGTTGGGTTATGTGTTCTGATGTAAATCTTGCATTTGCAGGCAACTTTCTACAGAGCAAGCTGTTTTACAGGAGTCACTAGAGAAAGAATCAAAAGTAAACAAACGCCTGTCAATGGAAAATGAAGAACTTTTGTGGAAGTTGCACAATGGTGATCTATGCAGCCCAAGAAAACTGTCTCCCAGTTCTTCATCTGTGCCTCTTCAGTCTCCTCGAAATTCTGGTAACTTCTCTAGTCCTGCAGTGTCACCAAGATGACATCTCTTGAGAGAAAGAGAGGCCTGCATTTCACTTCTGATCTGCAGAACCTTTCCTAACTTTAATCACAGGAGCAAGAGCTATATTAGCCGCCTATGACAACTAAACGTAACTGGAAACTATGTGTTGCAAAAACAGCGATAGGAGACTGTGAATGTGGGAGTAAGACATTCACTCCTCCCAAAAAGACTTATGACCTCTATGGACATCGTTGCACAAAGCACTTATAGAGCAAGAAGAGACTTGTTTGTTGCCTTTTCACCTAACCATAAGAAGAAGCTCAGGGGCTTAGAGATCACAACCTTTATAATATGTTCCTTATCACCGACACTTTTTTAAGGCTGTGTGTGTGTGTGCGTGTGCCGTGGATGGAGTGGGTGTAACACACTGTGCGTGTGTCTAATGCTGCCTTCTTTGCTGTGTACGTAATAAAGGATAAAACCTGAAGACTATACATTGACATGTACTTCCTTGACACTGCTCTCAGTATGCATGCTTAACAGAGTACCCTTGCCTGGGAATGAGGAGAAACTACTGGTACTGTAGAATAATTTCCTTCATCATTCTGGCTGGTAAAAAAATGGCATGAAGACCTCTGTCAACTGACTCCTTAGTGTCTTGGTCTACCTGAGTATGCAACTTTGAATTAATTTTAAAAACAAATTGAATTGCAGCCATATTTTGAATGGGTTCTTGGTTTCACGTCCATGCACAGTTCTGCCATTTATGAGGAGAACTTTTTTTGCAGGGTGCAATGGATTTTGGATTTCAAGTCAATAGGGTTGTAGTCAGAACCAGAGTAGCCCTCAAGGTCAGAAGTTCTTAGCTGAGTTGCAAGTTTAGAAGCCTAGACCAAGCATCTTACCTGCTGAAAAGGAAGCACTGATTTCCCCAAAATAGCACGTCTGTTCCTGAGGATAAACAAGATGTACATTTGAAAGCCAAAGAGAAATGCAATAATTGTAACTAGGTGCATTCTTAATTCAGTTCATAAGAAGTAATTTTTTAATTCCAATGTAACTGGTAACACACCTTGCCTTTTTAAGCATTAGCATTTGTATTAACTTTCCTCAGGCTGGCTAAATTCATCTGAGTATGAGGTAGTATCTGTGCATTTTATCTTGCTAATTCTGCCATACTTTCCCTCTTAGACTGCAGGATTACTGGTGTTTTGACAGTTCATCAGGTGAAAAATCCTGTTCAAGAGATTCTGTAAAGTAGAGGAAGATGTAGTCCTGGCTGCTGAAACCGGAGGATGAGGGTGTCAGCATTTCTGGAAATATCCCATGCTGAGTTTCGGCTTCAACAGGGTAATTGGATAGCCTTGCTCCACCCTTGATCAGACCTGTTTAAGATGACTGCTCTGTACCTACTAAAACAGGTTCAGCTTCAGATTAGTCTTAGAAAATACTACTGACAATTACAGTAGCTTGGGCTTCACAGTAGGGCCACGACATTGTTGCACTGCTGGTTAGCTAATGCTGGTAGCTGGCTGAGTTTCCCTGTCTTTTTCAGTAGCTTGGGGACAGGAGTCAAGGGCATGGGAAGGCATTTAGGGAACTCAACTGGAGAACCACTTCAAAGTATTTTACCTAAGACTTGCAAAATCTTGGCTAATAATGAGGAACACAGACATAGAAACAATACTGTTAACAGTGCTCATACAGTAAGTAAATTTGTAATATATTTAAACTTGTGATTGTTTCATCATTAAATTTACTTAAACCTCTCATAATGTACAAATTAAGGATGCCATTTCTATGGAATATTATGCTTTCTTTTAATCCTTTTTAGGGCACTGTACATGCCACTTATTAGTGGTGTCAGTACTTAAAATGTTTACTAGGACGTTCAAATTTAACTATGAAAATCCTATGTTGGCTACAACTTGGCTTTAAGTATGTCTCAGAATATCCTTGCTTTCTACGGTCAAAGAGATTTGATTGCATGTATTTGAGCTGAATGCTTTACAATAAATATTTTGTACCGACTGAAGGATTTTTCTTCTGCTTATGTCAGTCAAAGGAGCTTTAATCTAAGGAGAAACATTTTTCCATTTACTAAAAACTCTTGGTATCTGCTCAGCACAGCAAAACAGCAATAGTGAAGCTTCATGGCACAGATTATTAGTGTTCAGCTACTCCTTAGAAAATTTCCCTTTGTTCCTCCACTTGTAGGTAGAAAATATTTGGAGCTTGCTTGGGATTCTCCAGAACATTCTGTGTGTGAGAAAAGCCTCAGGTAGAGGTTAGAAGTGTAACAGGCCCTGTCACAGGGACACTCACCTGGCCACTGGTAAGAACTTTATTACTTTAGTTGCAGTGTAATGCCTCAAATAAAACATGCAAGCAGAGTGCACACAAATGTTTGAAGGTTGAACATGGCACAGCCCTTCCTGTGAAGAGCAGGGAAAGCTTTTCCAGGCTACTGTACAGGAAAGTAAGTATGTATAGTAGATAATACAAAGACTGGTAATTTGTTGATAATTTACCTCCACAATGCAGGTGACTCTTCATGTCTAAACTGCTTGCAAGTAGACTCTTTAATGCTTTTAAGAAGAAATGAAGACTGCTTGTATGTAGAAATCAGATTACAGAAATACCTGTTTAGTGTTTGTCCTGTTGGTCTCAACGAATTAAATAATTCTGCTAATCTGTAAATACTGTTTCAATGTTTTTCTCTGTTTGAGTATTAGTATTTCAAGCTTTAACTTAAGTACCATGTGTTAGCAAAGACTTTGTTCAATCCAGTAACTTCTACATATTTTGGGCTTTTTTCTTTAGCATTATGTTTCCTTCAGGAAAAGCTAGAAACCTGCTCATCATCATAAGCCAAAGGTCAAGCAAGTGAACAAGTGTTTTTCTTCAGATATCCATCTTTACTCTCGGTTCCATCTCTAATGATGGGCTTCAGAGGAAGCTTTGGTGACATTTAACAGCTGAACCAAATAGTTTGTTGCCATTCAAACTATTCATAGTATGGTTCACCTTCAATGCTTTTCTCTAAAGGTCATTGTATGAGTTGCACTGTATTTTTTATAAAACTTGGGGTGAATCATTTCCTTGAGCTAACTAAAGACTTGATGTTTCTCATTACTAACACCAAAGACACTTCCATGTAAACTGGTGTCATGAAATTCCTTCTATACAGTAACCAACCACTGACCTTGTCTGACAGCCAGGAAATTATTTAGGGCTGAGCTGCAGCTAAAAAGGGATAACCACTGAACCCTGAAGAAAAAAATACCTTCTGACCACTGCTGCTGTCTTGCCTTAGAAGAGCAGTGGCACAGGTATAGAAATGGAAACAACAGCACTGGCAGCTTTAGGCATGTAACTTTGACGAGTCACTTAAATTTTATTTCCCAGGCTTCATTCTCTTCCCCTGTCACTGTTCATTTAGGTGGAAATGTGCAATTAACTGCATCAATGTAACATCAGCTCTGCCCAATAGGCTTTTGGTAACATAAAAACTGTGTAAAATACATAGTAAAAGAATTCTCATAGTTTTTCAATTACAATAATTATTTTCATGCTTGGTGGGAGGACAAGGACAGAAAGGATGGACAGGATGTGACACCCACCAAAACTCTTCCTTAGAGGCAGTGCTTCTGTATCAGTCTTGAGGCCTGCACGTGATGGTTAGGCATAACCATTACACCCCAGGGGAATACTCAAGCAATGGATTTACACCATCTTTTCCTCTCCTGCCAAACTGTCATCAAGTAAGTGATGCCTCCACTGAGCTGCTGAACAAAGGTGGGCAGGTGACATGATCTCCCACTTACCAGATACTTTGAGAAGAAAATAAATTGTTGAATTACAGGCTCAAATGCACTTCTAAATTCAAAAAGCTGGCACAACTCCTTTAGTTCAAAGGAAAAGACATTGATCTGAGGAATGAAAATGCTGAAAAGGAATTATCGCATTGCACAGCCTCACCTAGAAACTCAAGGACTCTTAATTTGGTCAGAATAAAAAAACCCCACATGATACAAGGACATTTTTTTACCTAAAAAAATGGTCCAAAGATCTTTTTTAGGTATTACTATGAAATTGTATAACCTACTTAGTCTTTGGATTACAGTGTAATGTTCTTGATACATTTTAACAGATTAACCTTGCCTCTTACACCTTCAAAGATAGTTCTACTGCATATTGTTTTAATTTTTTTTTGATACCTTATTTTCAGAGACCAGAGATGAAAAAAGTTCCTGGGGAATGTTCTCCATGTAGTCTATCACATGAGACCTGCATGGAACCATTTCAGTCTTTATCATGGGTATTTCTCTTATCAGTTAAATTAGTTTAGGTTCCTGCATGCTGAAGAAAAAGCATTCAGCAAGCTTGTTTAGTGTTTTGATTACCTACACTACTAATCACATCACTGACTTTACTGGGAAGCTGCCATTTTTACATTAGCACTTGGAGCTGTCACTGTTCCAAACAGTGCTGTACAGCTGCTCAAAGGTCTGAATTAGCTGGAGCACAGGGCTACCTCAGGCCTTCAGCAGAAGAAAGTTTTAGGAATTCCAGTCAAACACAGGCTGAAACAGAGGGAAGTTTGTGACCAAGGGACCAGTTCCTGCTTTGCTTCCTTGTGTGTTCAGAGTAAACTGGTTTTCACTTGCCTTGTAAGTAACATGGCTTGCATTAAATGTTTTTTGTCATTTCACTACTAAGGATCTGTATTTAAAGTTCTAGCCCACATAAAGTGGTGCTTGAGACTAAGAAAAAAAAACCAAACAGTGCCAAAATGTCCAACAATGTTGTTATCAAGTTCTTACCTTCTCCTCTAGCAAGTTCTTTCTTTGTACTGGTAACTGAACGCAGGTTGAGAGAAGCAGTGGCTTATTTATCCAGGTATAGTTCTGTGTAAATGAAAATATCTTCCCTTTTCTCCTAAGTAAATTAATACAATGGAGTTGAACTTGTTATTAACCTAAGAAGAAATTCTGCTGTAAAACTGAACGTCATTCTAATGTTTGCTTTTTTGCCTTTTTTTTTGTTTGTTCTGTAAATGCTAATATATAAATAAATGCAAGTTTTACCTTTAGCAGCCATAATTTGCTATGTAATTTACTAAACATAACACCGGACATCTAAAGAGGAGTGAACTATTACATAAGCTACATATTGTAAGGGTGTAAGAATGCAACAACATAAGGAAAATCAAGCATACCCAACTACTTACAAGTCTCTGGAGATACTAAATATATATTAAGGTCCTAAAGGGTATTAATCTTCAGGAGAGAAAATTTTGTCTTTGTCTTTACATACATATGAAAATGAGCACACACACATTTATGTTTTCATAACATTCAGAAATTTAATTATTCTTGCAAAATAAACAACTGCTATTGGCTAACTTTGTTACAAGGCTTTTTTAGTTTGCCTTTTTGTTGTTGTTTTAAACATGTACAGTACTCAAATTTAAAATTGCACGTTCCACACAGTGTGGACTTGACCTCATGCAAGAGTCTGAGGGAAGGACTATATGCAAAGCCCAAAGAGCACCTGTTTCTAAATATGCACACACCCTAGGCATGTTCAGACTTACACTTTAATGCTTCATCGTAGTTTCATTAACTCACTACTGCTTGACAGGACACTGTTGTGGCCTGTCAAGCTCATCAACACAAAATGCATTGACATATAAAAGAAACAGTGAGAGAGAAGCTACATTTAAACATTAATGAAGAAAACTAATGGCTATAATGTCAAATAACGTACAGGTCAGTCCATAACCAGAAGTCTTTTCTATCACTTCAGTTCAACTTTGGTAGTTACTGTTGTTTCTCCTTGTAGGTTCCGAGTTATACAAATATAGTTTCCCACATCTGTGTCTTCAAAATCCTCCACAAGAAGAACACTCTTTGAGAGTCTTGTAGTATGGCCAATTCCTCTCTTTATCAATCTCCAGAAGTTTTGAATAATCACAGGCCTCCCGGACTATTAACAAAACAAAACAAAAACAACCCACCCACATAAAATAGGTGATTCCACAAAGGGTATTTAGTGACACCACCCCGTCACGTTGAAGCAAGAGGCTGGAGAGTATGAGCCTATATCAAAAGTCAGCCCTAAGTGAGGGAACTGAAGGTGTCTGGCAGTGGCAGCAACATTCCTGCATTAAATATGGATGTACCAATAAGCTATGCCAAATAAGGATAATACAGTGGCTCTTCCACTCCAAGCACTGGGCTTGGCAAAGCTCTGCCTGGAGCCTGTGCATGAGCTCAGTTTTAGGCCACTTACTAAAGTTGCATTTGGGTACCTGATCAAATAGGTGAGGTGTCCTGGGGGAGGTGTCAAGATAGATGAGTGAGCTCATTTTCAGCCTTCAAGCATGTCACAAAAAGAAGGCAGCAGTGCCATGAGGTAGCTGACTGAGCTTTCATTCTCTTTTAGCAGAGTGAATAGCTGTATGTCACACGTTGAAAATTTATTCCTCCTCTAGTTTTAGAAAACACTACATCAGGTAATGTAGAAACAAACAGTAACAATTCTCAACTATTCCTGAGTTACCTGTCACATTCTCCTTTCCAAAACATATATGTAACTTCAATGCCAAAAATACAAACCCCTCATGTTTACATCAAAAAATGCTTTTTTGTGGGTTTGTTGTTGTTGTTGTTTTGGTTTTTTGTTTGGGTTTTTTTGGTTTGGGGTTTTTTTGTTATTAAGTAAAAGGCACTTTTAAAAAAAATTCTATAAGGGAGTTCTCTAACGGACTGGTTATGAGGTCACACTGCCTGGCACCTCAGGAGGTCACAAAATACTGTGTAAGAGAAATTGGCCCAACGATAGACTAAGGCAGTCTCTTTTCTTCCAAAGTCCAGCAGCTGTTAGTCAGCACACTGGCTTCTGCTATACCAATAACTGGGATAAAAATGCAAGAGAGAGGTTTCTGTGTGGAACCATCTTCTCTTGCCTCATGACATAGATGGATTAACCACTTACCAATATGAACACTACAAGGCTTAAGCTAGATGTAGCAATAGGCTAAGTTAGACACTTAATGCAGAGTGAAAGCTACAATCTCACACTTGCAAAATGACCAGTACAAAGGCAGCTCTCAGTCTTCCTGAAACTTAGGGATGAGTCACAGTACAGTCAGGGAATGCCTAGGAAGTGGCAGGCATTACCAGCTATAGGAAAAAAACCCATAAAAATTCTTGGCAGTTATAATAGAAATTCTATAACATTTAAAAATAATGAAGCCACTTAGCAAAGCACTACCTCCTGTTCCAAGCCTGAAAATTAAGCGCTACCTACAACCAAGTAATACTGCACACTTAATCAAGTCTAAGTTACTTAAATATAGCAAGTGGAACATCCTTGACCCTACTGAAAGTAAGGTAAAGGCTGTGCAAAGTGGACTCTGTTTGCCTGGTTAGGTTCTTGCTAGTCCATTTATCCTCAAACTAACTGCCTGCTTTGTAGCCTGTTGCAAGGAATCAGATTAAGGGTGGATCTGTATGCATTCACAGCAGGTGAATGAGCAAATGCAATCGTCAGGGAGTGGCAAGGGGAAACAAGGAAGAAAACCAAAACTGAGTGGAAAAAAAAAGCAGGAGTAGAGGTTAGTGACTACAGAGATAAAAGGAGGGCCTCCACAACACACCATACCTAGGGACAAGCAGAGATTGATGTGCTGCTTCTGCTCAGAAATCGGGCAGTAGGTGAGAGCCCAGCTGCTGAGTGGTGTAGGCTGGGACAAAACCATTCCTGAGCTCCAGCACTGAAAACAGCAGCATTGAATGGAAACATCCAGTGAATCTTAGAACAATGTCAGTCCCTTTTTTTTGCATAAAAGGTTTATATGACCAGCATCACTGATGGTCTTGTCTCTTCTCCTTCCACCCCACCTTTTTTCTTTGCAGCATGTGAACGCTCTCAATAAATGTAAAGTCTCCAACAAGCATGCAGTGCTTCTACTCTGACATTTACTTGATCCTTTTGTTGGGTCAGAAACCCAAACACAACTCTCCCCTCCCTATCCCCAGGCACAGCTGGAGCTGAGATAGTTTACCCTAGTGGATAAGCACAGAGGCAGGCCAAGGCCAAAGCCTCTCACCCCCGTAGGTGGGTGCAGTGAGAAGGTGCAGTCCTTTGTTGATAGCCCATGTGCCCTGCACTGCAGCTGTAGTTCCCATAGCAAACAAGGGAGATAACCTGCATGCTTCAGCTACATTCAATCAGTGCTAGAGAGGTGTAAACATGCACATGCCAACATGCATCAGGTGCAGTAAAACCACTGGGAGCAGCTGGGCCAATAACTGCCAGCAAACCAGGCTGGGGGCAGCCTGGGAAAGATGCAAAACTAGGGTGGATAATAACGAGACAGTTTTGGAAGGCCAAGCTGGGTCTAGAATGATTAAGAAATGAGCTCCTGTTGTAACAGGTGAGGGTAGTTACAGGGAAAAGAGAAGGGACCTTCAGCAATGCTAGTCAGATACATCTTATTTTGTCAAAGAAAAGATATCCCAGATTCACATTGTGTTTCCTGTGGATGCTTTCAGATGAGGCTGGGCAGAAGCAGATTCTGCTTCAAGATATGGGCAACAAAAATTCTGTGCTGGAATAATTCATGCACCCAAGCTATGGAGAAAGAAGGGACATCAAATGCAGAGGCATCAGTGGGCCTTGTGGCTTGCCCTACAACAGCTTCCTGATGCTGGTTGGTTTTGACCCTCTCTGAGGCTTTCTTTAGAAATGCTGCCAGAGGCCAAATATCTCTGGAATGGAAATGTGACTGAGGAGTGAGCTTTGCTGAATTTGATTTTTACTAACAGGGCTCTACATCCCTGCGTGACTTCTCAGGGAGATTCTCAGGGAAAGACAGGCTGAAGTTGAAAGGGGATGTGCTGCCTCCTCCTGCCAGCATGCCTGAACTAGCAAGAGCATTCAAAACTAAGAACAAACCATTTCAGGCAGGGCATTCACCTCTTACCTCTTGCCCTGGATACTGCCACCTGAAGTTCACATCCACATCTGGCTCCCCAAGGACTGTGCAGACAACATGAACTCTGTCACCGAGTCCAGCTCTACTGGATGACACCGCAATTGTGGCTGAGGGTGGGCCCTTGGGGACTGAGACAGTGTTTAGAAACAAAAAATTAGCTGCTGAAGTTAAATACACTGATCAAATTGAGAGTCAGTTTTTGACTCAGTTTGCTTAGTGCAACAGGTGTTTTACACCTGCAACTTTCCCCTCTAAACTGGGAAATTTGCTGGAATTTAAAACTGATAAATGTTTTATCACATGTACTTTTGATCAAGGTTTTAAAACTCTCATTACACTACATATTTCACTTTCTAAAAATTATTCTCCTAGCATCGGCAGAAGAATCAATTTAAGCACAGAGAAAACTGCACTTTACCTTCCACATATAGTAGGTGATATTTGATGGAAATCTGAGGTGCTCCCTGTGACTCTGCTTTGCAGTAGACAATACCTTTATGATCAGAAGTAGGGTGCTGGAAGACAAAACCCTTCTTTGCATCATAAAAAATATCAGTTCCATCTGTTTCAATTTCTTCTGCTGGAAATTCCCTGTGAAGAGTCACTTTTGCTGAAGGAGTAGTAACACGGCATGGGATGACTGCAGGTTTATCTGGGTTCAGGTACACAATCTCAAAATAACTGGGAGTAGGTACAAAAAGCTCCTCTTTGTCTGTGCAGGAGAGTTGACATAATTACAGAAATAATTACATCTCGGTTTAACAGAAAGAGAAGTACATTTGACAAGAGAAAATAGCTGTGAGCAACATTTAAAACAAAAAGCTTTGGCTTAATTTTAATATGCACACACACAAAAGAAAAAAGAACATTGCTTGCATTAAAAAAAAACATTAAATTGAAAATAAAAACGAAGTATTTTTTTAATCTTAAGAAAATCTTTGGAGTGTCCTTTAGTAAGCTTCCAAATACTTATCTGAATCCCATCACCACTGGTAAGATAAGGACTACTAGAAAAATACACTTTTTGAAGCTACAGACTTTTTATACCTATGCTTTTAGTCAAAATGTTTGATTTACTGTCTTAAGTAGAAGAAATATTTAGTGCCCTCAGAAACAGAGCTAAGGAGTATTTCCATAATTAGCATGCCTCTTGGAAACTTAAATCTGAAATTCCTCTTTCTAGCACAAGCATTTACACAATAATTTGACTGAAAAGTTTGTTCCAGCCTTTCTAAGGAATGTATCCTAAAAACATTAAGCTCTTCTTTCTCATGGTCCAATTTACCTCCAAAATGTATTGCAAACCATCCTACCTTAACATTTTGTACTAAAACATTTTTTTAGCCATGAATACTTTAGCTCTAATGAGGCATCAAAGGTTATTTTATTATCCAGAACGGTTTCCAGAATAAAAACCAAGCCACTTGATTTCAGCTCTGTTGTACCCAGCAGCAATAAACTGTGCACAGGCTCTAGGGGACATCACATGCACTTGAAGACTGTTTTGCCTCTCAACATGCTATGATGACTCCTCAGAGAAACTGCCCTTACTGAGTTTTTTAAGGCAGTGCAAGTAACTGGAATTCATTGGCAGTCGGGGAAGAGTCCATGGGGTCACCTGAATGCTGTGACAAAATGAATCTTCTGCACAAATTTATTTTCTTTATTTAGACGCATTTTCAAAAATTAATACTTTTTATTAGTTTTGTAGAAAATCCTCAGAAAGTGTGTTATAAGGTATGTGCTTTTCATTGCATTTTCCATTACTTTGGGTATTTTGCATAATCTGAGGAAAAACGGACTCAAAAAAATCACACTAAGCAAGTAATTTTCTGCCCACAAGCAGTCTTCATTAACATCCACTAAAAATAGATGAAAACTGTGGCAATAAAATCTTGAGAATGAAATCACTGATGTAGCTTTATTCCTGTCTTACCAGCAAATATATTTCCATTAATAATCCCCCAGTGAGTTAATTACCTGTGAAAAAGATGTATGTTGACCCTGTTTTAGTCTCATCCTTCCTGCATTTGTTACCATTGCACAGCTGAAGCCAGCAGCTGTACTCACCTGTATCTGCTGCAGTGGAGTTTGCAAGGATCAGCTGACTGTACCTGTCAAGCTGCTTTATGCTGTGGAAAAACAAAAACAAAAGGCGAAGACAAGCAAGATGTATTTCCTTGTATATTTCTGTCAGCTCATTTCCACTTTTGATTTTTTTTATTCCTTCTCTGCAACTGACCACTTTTCACTTTCAGAGCTCTGTTGCAACTTCCCCTTTTGCTCTAGCAGAGACTGTTTACAGGAGTTTATTGATTTTAACTACATACAAGAGCTTGCAAGACAAAAGTCTTGTACATTTCATTTTTTCATTCCTTCAAGTCTCCATTTTGAATCTGGGCTGTAACTGTTCTAGGCCACATGTTCATCCATGTTTTGGCCTAGTTTGTCCATGCACAGCCCTTTCCTTCATTCTACACGTCAACCCACATACACCTCAGTCCCTTTTCAACACTGTAACGCTGCTTCAATAAAATCTAACAAAGATAATTGACAAGTAGTTAGTAGCAGGTATTCTACTGAGAGTTTGTTTAATAATTTCTGCCTGCTTTCAGTGTGAATGCTTTACCAATTTTTACCATACCAGTCCAAGTTTCCACTTGCAAAGAGCTGCTACCTCACCTTGGATTTGTCCTGCAAGTTAAGTCATTTTGCATCACCTACTCCTGTGGTCTAAGTCACCTCACTGGAGTTTCCTTCACATCCCTTGGCTATTTTAGAGCATGACCCTGAGAACTGCTGGAGGTGTACTGGCAGTGCCATCATGTAACTACATAAAATTCAGCCTGTGTGATTATTTCAGACTTGATATGCTTTTTTTTCTTTCTCCTGAATTTCCCAAGCACATCTCTCAGTGGATTGACATTTGTAAATGTGCAAATATTTATAAATATGTAGACATATACATAGATGCTGACAATTATTGTAAGAGGCAAAGGTTCTTATGAAATACTGTAGCTACATTCTTTTTTTATGTATTTTAAGGTTTACCTTCCATGCTCTTTCTGGCAGACAGATGGTGGTGTGGTTGGCAGTCTACCGCGTTGGCTTTTGATGGATTTCAAAAGCAGTGGCCCAAAAGTACCAGTTCTCAGGGAATCCTGTCAGCACAGCCACGTGACAGCAATGATGCACTCCGCTGCTGCTCCAACCCTTAAAAATGTTCTTTTTAACCAGCTGCCTCTCATGGTAGTGGATCTAGGTCATAAAGGGTTCCCTTTTTCCTTTGCAAGACATTGAGTTACAAGGTAATTTCTTTCTAACCAAGTCAGGAATTATTTTTTCCAAGTTAGGTATTTGATAATGAACTTCTTTTTACTGTTTTAAAGGGATTTAGACAAATACACAGCTTGCATGAAATCTGAACAGCTCTCATACTAATTTAACTCTGGGTTTTTTGAATATTTATTACCCTCCTAATTCTTACTAATGTGGCAGTTAGGTAGATACCTGACTGAAGAATTTCTTTCTGGGATTAGCTTCTTTGAAGAAATTTTTATCCTTTTTTAAGAGTTTTGCTTGACTGTTCATTGCAGGCCGAATAACTGTTTAAAAACAGAGGCCACCACTTCAGCTGCATGTGCTTCCCAGAAGTTGGGGCTCCCCAGGTCTCTGTTAGCAGTTTGCACAATTAGCAGCAATCACAAGCAGAAGTTCACATAACCCAATACTCAGCCTTCAGCCAGGCCAGCAGCTTAGAGATGAAAAGCACACCAAATACACACCTCAAACAGAGATAACTGAGAACTGTCTTTTCCACTAAGCCCTCAGACACCATTAGATCCACACCAACACAGACACACATGGATCCACCACAGGGCAGTGCTGAGGCCTGCCCCAATAAACAGGCAAATCACAATTCCTATCCACCAATGCACTTGTCCTACACAACCTTGTATGATTCCATTTCTTAGAATCATGTAATTATGGTGCAGTAGTCTTCCCATTTTTAATATATACACTACCTTACATTATAAACTATCTTCAGTTTTTGGATAACTTTTGAGAGATTCCTATCTGTGCAACAGAACATGCTGTGTATCACACCCAAAATGAAGAAAAGACAAACCCAAAACATGTCCTAGTCTGCATTATTACTATTTAGTTCCACAGTTCACATTTCACAGGCTATATGACAACCTCAGAATAAAATGTTTTCCAAGGATCAAGTACTAAATGTCTACTATATAGAGAAACCATTATGCCAGAACTCTTTTGCTCCCAATCATTAATGCAGAACTGAGCTATAGTTTGAAATCCCAACAGATAGCAAAATAAGGTCAGAGTTAATTAATTATTGTACATTGTGTTCTTCTTAACTGTGAACAAGTTATTCAGTAATAACCTAGCAAGGTAGTCATCCACAAACATGCAATAACAAAACCTGGCATCTGAGAGTGTAATGTTGAAACTTGAGACATGACCATATTAAGCAGACAAAACAAGCCATATAAAATAAAGTATAAATGGCAAATCCTGCAGCTAACCAATATTTCCAGGGTAACTTATCATTTCATTAGTACTTAATTCGTATTTTAGATGCTGGGAAATCTGACCCAGAAGCCAAAACTTTCCTGTATTGCAGATGTCGCGAAATAAAAATGTTGTATATACAAACATTACCAGACTGTTTAAAGAAACCAGAAATAGCCCAAAGTCTTATTCCATACATTCATCTTATTAAACTTCATATAAAGTTTAGAAGGTTTTCTTGCCAGAAAACTATGCCACATTTAGAAGCTAAAATATATATTTATATAAAAAATATATATAAAGACAGTATACATAGCATCACTCAAAGAACACCTGCCAAATTCCTCTCAAGTAGCTGCATTCATACTGAAAAAAGAGAGCTTATATCAAATACACACTCACTAGGACAGGAACATAACATCTTGCTGTTTTACACAAGACAAAATACCTTAGCTTTTAAACTCAAAGCACAAGCAGCAAACTCATATTCAGTTACACACATGAGCACAACTGACATCCCACTAAGCCTGTGGGATGCATTCACTGCACTCAGTGAAAGCAGTCTAATTTCAGTCTAATTCTGGCCCCCACCACACCCAGTTTCCTCAATATTTGTGGGAGTGCTCCTGTCCAGACACCCTCCTCTCACATGAATGTACATGGGATGCATGTCCAGCTGTTTGCCCCAGCTCCTTTCATCTGAGCAGCTCCATTTTGTGTCAGTTTACTCATCAGACAGTCAAATGCAGCTGGTCTTCAGCAGGGGAGACCCATGCTCCCACCAGGCAGCACAGAGACTGTGTGAAGTCAGAGCAGCTTTCTGCTAGAAAGCTTTAGTAAAGGGAAAATCTGCCTGCTCTTACTTTTATCCCTCTCTTATGTTGTAGATCCAGTTTCTGGGTGAGCCTCCTGTCATTAATTTGTTATTCACAGTCTTACAAAACAGCATTCCAGCCCTTCTGTACTGGGTGTGCAAGACCAGCCTCCGACTGTTAACACCACCAGTGTTTTTGGCCAGTTCAGACAACACACAAAATTTTCAGACAAAAAGTATGCAAGTGCTGCACAAACCAAGGGAGCATTACAGATAACAGGCTAGTTCTGAAGTTCTGAAGCAAGCCTGTGTGTGTCCTTAAGCTAGGAACCATGTTTGCATGATTCAAGCTTTCTCTCAGAGCTGTATAGCACACTACAGTCTCTAAAGCTAAGTAAATTGTTCCAGTGTGTACTGTTGTGTACTCCAGTTAAGAGCAGTGGAAAGGCAGAATTTCTGCTCCATCTCAGCAAGAAGCAGCCAAAGAGTCCTCCTCCTCCTCCTTTCACTCAGCATCTCTCACTCCCTCAGATATGATAATTATAGCACATGTAACAGCTCCAGACGCATTACAAACCGAGACTCTCTAGTACAGCAAGTAACGTATTTTATTTACCAGGTTGTAGAGTACGCCTACAATGAGAAATTCAATGAAAGCACAGCCACTAATACTACAGAAATGGCTTTTCTAATGAAAATCTTCCTCTTTAGAAAAGGCATATTGTCCCCCAGATTGCTGTATTCTCCTTACCATATGGGTGAGTTAAAAATGTGGTAAGCATAGCATTGAGGCAAAACATCTGGGTTTTATCCCTACTTCTTTACACAACCACCCATAGAAAATACATGACATTGATGCTAAATTTAACTAGTTGTAAGCCAAAATACCAGAGTAGTTCAATTTGCACAAACCTTCTATTATTTAAGGGAAAAGTAAGAATTAGATGCCTGAGCATCTGTTGCTGTGAACAGAAGAATTGTAGCCATTAGTCCCCAGCAACTGCAGGGATCTCATCACTGGTGTCTCTCCTCCTTTTCACTCTTCCTCTGGCACACCAACCCATTCCTTCATTTTCTGTTACCTCGTTTTGGCCCCATCACGTCCTCCTGCTGCTGCCATCAATTCTAGTTTGCACCAGTGCCCCAAGTCCAGCAAGACCCACGTGGAAATCTAAGGTAAAAAAGCCCAGCCCAGTTAATTAGCTTGGGTTTTGCCCCACACCTCACTAACTGGTAATGAGGGGATTATCTTATACTTGGTCTTTAAGTACTCAAAAAATGTTAGAGGATACTGGACATATATCTACATAGATGATGAAACAATTTTTGCTGTAGGTTATTATTTGCTAATAAGTTTTCTGAATTTTCCCTCTCTGCCCTATATTAATCCTTTGTTTTAAAATAATGAAGGTAATGTATTAATAAATTTTTTAAAATTGTCTATTGCAGTTGATGCTTGGTGTGCATATTCCATGAGGAAGATCTAAGCTGCTCTTGAAAGGTCATAGCTTTGCTGACCTTTTCTAGTGCCAGCTCACTTATGAACGCTGCCAACTGAGCTAAGTAACACGGTACCTTTGTGGTACTTCCAGTTAAAATCTATCAAACCTTTCTGAAACCACAGAACACAAATTTCAAATTTCACATTCTACAGAGCAGACTTGTTTCACAGGCACCTATTAAAACTACAGCAAAGACCTTGAGATAATTACCAAAGCCATGCTAAAAATGTGATGAAAATGTAACCGCACAGGATTCTGTAGTCAGTCTCCATAAATTATTACTATTTTGTGACTCTTAAATCTGCTTCCAATCTATATTTTCAATTTCTCTAGTTAATTTTAGGATCTTCTGCTTGCATTCAAAACTGATGATTTAGTCAAACAGCCTTACTGTTTAACAACTTATTTCAAAAGCAATGACCATTATATTTCAATACAGATCCTTAAGTATATGCCTTACATACTTCTAAAAGAAAATAAATACTTAGGCAAGTTACATCCACCCAGTAAAAATGTTTTATAGCACTTATTTTATGTGGCATAAGTAACTTTTGTTGTATGGTTATATTACCACTGTTAAGTTGAATGCGTACAGAAATGTAAATTGCTGAAGTAACAGGATCCCAAACTACTTCAAACTGAAAACCAGAAAATTACACTATCATGCCACTTATTTCTGTTTTCCCAAACCATCTCAATTTCTTGTATTTTGTCCCACATGCATCAATAGAGAACACTTAATTTTGCATGAGAGGAATAGACAGCCAAATAACCAATAGACAGCAGTAAGAAGCATTCAGATTCCTCTCCAAAAACCCTGAATACTGCCCTGCCTTCTTTAATGCCAGATTCTGACACTCAGATGGCACGGCCTGGAGGTCTACAAGACCAAACCACACCAGCAATAGATTTGCAAATGCACAAAACAGTAAGACAGGCTTGAGAACGATCACCCCCACCACATACACACACACTCCCAGCTGGTTTGCTCATCCAGATCTGGCTTGCTGGGAGGCCAGGTCTGTACTGCAGCTAATAAACGCCACCTGCTGAAAGAAACCTGGATAGAACAGTATTCCTTGCAAAAGAATAAGCAGTAGCAGGTTAAAGAGTCCACTAGGTCTTTTGACAGCTATTGCTGTGATAAGCCCACAGCAGGATCCAGCTTGCTGCTGTAACTTACTATGGCAGAAGCCTTGCACACAGCCAGGGTAGTCCTTGGGCGCCTCAGCCAACACAGGCCAAGCCAACAATGGCACAGAGAACTGGCTCATGAATTACATGAGGATGTGCTAGAGATCACAGAGGGTAACCTCCATTCATCAACAATCCCCTTCAGAAACAAAGTGTAAAAACGACTAAATCTGAAAAACTAATTAACTGGGAGTGATTTTAGGGTAACATCACACCTGTAAATAATGAAGTAATAATGAACACTGGGATTCAGATAATCTGAGTGACTTAGAGCACATACACTTGTACTTAATTTAGGAACAACAAGACAAGAGCAGCTGACATCTTGACTCATACCTCTGTGCCTCTCTCACCCAATAATCCAAGAAAAGCTCCTAAAAACTCTTTCTTCGGGTATCACTCACAGTGCTTCATGGTCTCCATAAAACAGCCAGTGAAAACAAACAGTTCCCAGAGCAATAAAATGCCTGTGGAAGACATCCTTAAGCTGCTTATATGCCCCTCCTCTTTCTAATACAGAACTAAATTACTACTTTTAATCTACATTTAGCCACGTATACTATCCTAAAAAGCCAGGAGGGCAATGTATGGAGAGTCTCAGAAAAGATGTTCAGAGCAACAGGACATTCAGATGGTGGGGCAGTCAGTTCCTCTTCCTGCTAACAAATCTTTCTGTGGTTTTCATTAAGATGTCAAAAGACGAAAGAAAAAGCTTTCCTCAATTGATAGTAAAAACCCTCAGCATTAAACTCTGATGCAACACAAGCCTTGCAATTTCATTTTGCATGCAAAGGCAACTCTGACTGAATGACTACTCCCACTTGCTGCTTAGCATGAAGGCTGGTGTATTTTTTGCTAGTTAAGAGATGTGGGTTTGAGTCTCTTCAGGAAATTAACCTTACTACCTCATGTGGTAGCCACATTAGCAACCAGTACAGCCCAAGACGAGCAGGTCTCTGCAGAGCAACAGAGTTGGTAGTGAGCACCTGACATCCACATGCACATTTTGAGAGTTTCACTTTGGACCAGCCCTAACGTGGTTCCCTGTTTGTGGCTGGAGCACAATGGTGAACATCATCTCCATTTCAGATTCATCTGAAGGAAACCGAGTTCACACGCTGTCGGACTATCCCGGACTGCACACCACAAGGCAGTAACTAGTGATGACTAAAAGTTGCTAATCCTTTTTGTGGACACTAAAAACTATTAAATAGAACACTGTGACTGTAAAAATGTAAATAAACAAACAAACAAAAACACCAGTGGTGCTGAACACAGTAAGGGAAAAAAGTTCTGGATTTTTCCTGCAAAAAATCAAAAACAGCTTACCTGAGTCTGGAGTCTTTAAAGGTGTCTAAATAAGAAGGATAGTTCCAAGTAACATTACTCCCCTTACATCGCAGCTCTATGCTCTGTCCTGCAGCCAGGCTTAAGGTGGCAGCTAGTTTCTGAAAATGACCTTTATCCATCACCTGTGTCAGGATGGACTGGGACTTCAAAGAGGAATCCACAGACTCTCTCTCCTTCATTTTGGGATTCTTGGGTTTTACTTTCTTGTTAACAGGCTTAATTTTGTTTTCTCCAGGTTCTTTGGGACGCTTACTCTTTGCAGGCTGTCCAATAACTGGTAAAATAAAGAAAAGAAGGCAATGTTACTGATTATAAAAAGTTTTTATAGTCTTTTGGAAAAAAAAAATCTTCTTTATTAGCCCAGAGAATAATTGAAATTTTGTTCTCCCTAGAAAAGATGCATAGAACTTAGTAAGAGTTAATTTCCTTAAGTTTTTGAACTCTGCCATGACCCATTTTCCTGGGGAAAAAGGAAAAAACAGAGAGCTTTCAAGAACATGTGGAAAATCTATACTTGCATAAACAGAGAAATATGCAAGGTATGAAAACTTTACAAATGGTAAGGGAAAGAAATACAGCACTTCTATCTGCAGCCACTTTTGTCATTTCCACCTCCTGGAGCTGCCATGCAGCACTCAATGCTACACAAACTCTCCATGTTCACATCACGTGCCCATCAGTCTGCATGACCTCTTCACACACCACACTTCCATAAGGGACACGTGAAGAACCCACAAGTGTAGAACTTCATGACAATTTATAAAATACTAATGGTGATGCAGGTTTCTTAGTTTACAGTAATTACTGAATTGCAAGGGATACTTTAGTCACTTGAAGGTGACTTACTTAAGTTGTCACTTCTCCATAAGAGCCATTTATTTTAACAGTCCAGATGAAGACAGAATCTTATTTAGAGACAAACAATATGAGATTCCATTATGACCTAGAGACAACAGGAATGACCAGTTGCCTTAACAAACAAAGGAAACAGAAAGAAAAAGTGAGGTGTCTCAAATATTTAAAAATAAAAAAAAACTAAAAAATTCAAATTTTAACTGAAATCAGGAAGCACATTCCTTTTGTGAGACAAGCCTAAAACTATTTTTGCCAGACACCAGGAACACCACTAACTGCGCCTGACAGCTAATTCTTGTTTTCCACATGGAAACACTGAGGTATTTCATTGTACAAATCAATCAACAGGCTCCCTCTGGAATGAAAAACTCAGCATACACATATACTCAACATAATTAAAACTGGTACAGGCTGCCAGTACGAACAGCAGGACTTCCAGATTCCTGCGACTGATGGCTCCTGTGACACTCCTCAAACCCCAGCTGGACACCTTGCACTGCATTAGTTTTGACTTCTCCAAGTCCAGGCTGATGTACAACACATTTCTTTTAAACAACACAGCACCTTGTGAGCACAAATTTTAAAACCAGGAGTTTGTAGCACTTTTTCCTTGCATTACATTAGAAAGGCTACAGTAGGTCAGGCCAAAATGTATTTGCACTGACACCACCTAGTGTCAGATGCCAAGCAGAGAACAGGGCAACCACCTCTGCTCCTTTGATACTACTCTCCTAAGCTTCCAAGACCCTTTAGCTCAAGGGGTCTGTGAACCACAGTTGCTATAATTTTACTGTGCTTAGCTGTTTCTGGTTTGGGGTTTTTTTTGCTATTTTTTTATTATATTGTCCTTGGATGTTTTCCTTCATTGATTTGTCTGGTCAGTTTTGAAAATTACACAAATTACACATAAATGCCAGATACCTTCTAGTTTTTGTATTAAATAAACAAATATCCATGTTTCTCCAACAACACTCTCTCCAACACATATACTTTCACAAAACTTGAGCGTTTTTGACTCGTTTTCTTTCCACACTGACAAGTCCTACTCCAATTATTCCTGTAAAGAATATGCATCTCACAACAGTTCAGTTTTACCACATTTGGGTGACGGCAAGAACACAAAAGCAGGCTGTACACCAGGTTCAGTATGCTCAGATCTAGTTGTACTTATTAACGGTGTCTTCTTTCCTGTCTCACTAGTTTTCACGATAGCAAAATTAGGAGCTGGCTTTTTAAAAATAATCAAGTGAATTCCAAGACCACTTTCCTAAGTAGGAACTATTGGTTAAAAATTTGTAAGCAGAAACCCATCAAGGCATACATGAAGTCAGAACAGTTTGTGCTATTCAGCATCCACCAACATGAAATCTGAAGTCCTATTTTCTCTGCCCAGTCTTTCAAAATTTAGAGATCATTCTACAACTCTTTACTGACAGTTTTCTTTTAACAGATACTTAAATATGCTGAAAAGCATGTGCCTTACAAGACCTCTTTTAGATTCAGCTGGTTAAAAGCAATTCTATCCACATGGCAAAAAGACTAATTCCTACTCTTTATTTCCTATTAGTTATTGTTCCATGAGAGGTCTTCCCTTGTCTCACGGCACATTTGTTCCCAAGGAATTTTTTACAACAGGCTTAATAAAAGCCTTTGGGAATCCAACTACATCAACCAACTCATCCATGGTCACACTCTTACAAAAAATCCTCAGAGAACCTCAGCAGATCAGAAGAACAAAACTTCTAAAGGAAAAAAAAAAGGCAGTCATGCCAAAGCCATACTGACTTTTCAGCAATTCATGAGCTCAGTTTCAGTTTACAGAAGAGAGGCACAACAGACATCTGGCTTTGTGCCTCTACCTCCCCCAGATATTGTAAAATACTGGGATATTCCATTTCACTGGAAAGGTATAGTTATATGATATGATAGAGTGATATGCAGTGATATCACAATCAGTTCAGTTGGAAAAGACCTCTGAGACCATCGAGTCCAACCTCTGACCAAAACCCACAATGTCAATTAGGCCAAGGCACTAAGTGCTATACAATCTTTCCTTAAACACCTTCAGGAACAGTGTTCCACCATCTCCACTGGCAGTTCATGCCAAAGTCTAATCACACCTACTGGAAAGAAATTCCTCCTACTGTCCAACCCAACCCTCCCTTGGCCCAGCCTGAGGCTCTGTTCTCTCGTCCTGTCACTTGCTGCCTGGGCCAAACCCCACCTTGCTACCCCCTTCTTTCAGGGAGTTGTAGAGAGTGATACAGTCATTACTGAGCCTCCTTTTCTCCAGGCTAAGCAACCCCAGCTCCCTCAGCCACTCCTCACAGGACTTACCCTCCAGACCCTTCATCAGCTTCATTGCCCTTTTCTGGAAAAAGATAAGTTATGACAAGCTGCGCAGCTGGGTTAAGGCTTCACCAATTTCAGATTCAAATTTCTTTTACACCTCAGGTGTATATCATAAAATCTTGGCACTTAAACAGTTTCTGTTGCTAATTTTATCTCCCACTGATTCTTTTGGCATGTTAATGAGATGTCTTCTAATGATTCTCCCCATTGAGAAAAATTTTATTCCAGATTCTGCTCTTACAGTGCTTCATAGGATACTGCACTCTAAGTTTCTTCTATGCGTATCATGTCGCCATTTGCCATTAAAAACTCTCTAAGCACCTCCATAGTGAACATGGGTGCACACAGATAAATTTTTAAATTTCACTTTCTATAGATACTCTTTCTTATCCCCCATTCCTACCAATCATAAAAATTCTGTAACCATGTCTCCCAGCCCCATCACGGTACATCAGAAGAAAAAAAAGGATTTATGGCTGGTTTTATCCTTTTGTAAGCTGTTTCTCAAACTCTTTTTGTCTGCTTTATTCTGGTTTTTATATTTAACACACATGTGAGTTAAGGAGCCTCCTCCTCTTATGTAATTCCCTCTTCCAAAATTAAACACATCAGTGGTTTCTTTGTCTTTTATTATTCCTGCAAGAATATTAGAATTACAGTCAGGCCGTTCCACAACAACATCTGAATCCAATTACTTGAGTACTGCTCCAGAGCAAGTCAGGAATTGCTGCTCTTCTGAGGGGCTCTCCAAATAGCAGCTCTAATCATTATTTGTGGCCATCTATACAATTGCATTCTGCACCACACCTCGATGTGTGTGACCCAGCTCTCCAAATAGCAGCTCTAAGTCATTATTTGTGGCCATCTATACAATTGCATTCTGCACCACACCTTGATGTGTGGGCCCATGTGAGGGGAAGTTGTTCTTCCTTTTGCTTTTCTATCCAGTCCTTGCTGCTCCTCTGATCTTCCTTAGCAGAGCAGTCACTACACATTGGGTGGTCGGTTACCAGGCTGGTTCTTCTCCACAGGGCTGGTATTTCAGCCCTGATGACTTTTACCATCAAAACCCACCAGGAAACAGATTTAACAACAGATTAACAACACATACTGCCACTTCTCCCTCGGGTAAGCTGTTCCATCTTAGTGGAATTCTATCATATTATTGTGCCCTAGTACTGGAAGGTTCCACTGACAGGCCTGATAAGCCTTTGGAATAAGCATTCCCATTCCAAATTGGCCATTCCAGTTCCTTGTTGAACTTTCCAGATTACTCTGTAGCAGCATACAAGGTTTGGTTCAGCCATCCTTCTTCTTTTTTTTTTCCCATCAAACCCTACTGAAATTTGTTCAAATTACTCTTTGACATTGCCACTACTTTTTGCCAACCTCGATCCTGACATTATTTCTAAGGCACTTGAACCCTGCAACCTCACCCCTAGGAAATGCTTCATCCCATACTGTGTGCTCTGCCACACCTGAAACTCTGCCTTTAAGAAACTGTTAAAGACTTCCCTATGAAAGCTTTTCAATTTTAAGTGCCAGAAGCCTGGTTTTGATTTTCTCAAGATTAAGTTTTTCCTCTCCACACAAGCTCCCTCTGTTTCATGTTTCTGCAGTTCAGCGAGTCTGAACACTTTCCTCCTACACCACACTCCCAGCTGCTCACTGAGAGCCTTGTCTGCCTGACCTTGTACTTCCCTGCTGGTGACAGCAGGGGCATTTCAGCTCATCAGCAGATGAGCTTTTACCTTCCTACACAGAAAACCCGGTTCTGCCTCTGTTGCACCTCCCAAAGAGGTGAGTTTCCAAGCAAGCTGTGGCCATGCTCCTTCCCAACACTCCCTTTTAAGTCTGTCCAGGTATCTACTGTCCACTTCTAGCACCACTTCTGCACCTCACAATCCTGTCTTCTGTCTTAGCTGAATTAAGTCTTTTTATGCCAGGTAACAAAATTAACTGCTACAGTGTCACCCAAGGTAAAGGGTGACAATCAAATCCCTCCAGGAACAGAGAAACCATCACCAAGAATCCTCCATTTCCTTATATAATCTGCAAGACTGTCCAAAGAAAGGGAACACAATCAACCAGCCCATTTATGCAAGCACATGAATATGCCACGTTTGGGATATTTCACTGTCTCACTAGAGGTATGCACTGGGCCCTCACTGTTTTAATAACACTGCACTGCCTAATGTTGCACTGCTTTAGTGCAACAGCATTCCTTATTATAAATAAAAATATAATAAAATTAAGACTTACAAAAATATTAATTAAGAAAATGCCTCATTTCTACCACTGATCAGCTCCTGAAGTCAGTTCTAAGAGGCACTGTACCAATTTCAGCAGCAACAGTATATCTGAGGTCCCTAGTAGCTCATCATGCGAAAGGAGGAGACTGTGCATCCATACGCCACAGAAATTTATCATACAGCACTTTTGCTCCTGGTTCACAATATTTGTCTCACCCTATCCTTTAATGTCTGCCCCTTGTTCAATATCAAATAGCAGTATCAAAATGGGTGTTAGTCATATAATGCTAAAAAGCATTTGCTTTTTATTTGAAACATCACCTATATCCACATGCACATTCCACTGGTCTCACAGCTGCACAGGCTGTAACTCAAGAAGACCCCTGATCTTCAAGTGCCAACCTGGAGAGCAGTGTGTGAGCCTGGTCTCCCACAGGGACAAAGGAGTCATGCTCACTGTCCACCAGACATACCCATTCCACAAGGCAGGCCCCACGCTACATCTTGACATCATCAGAGACTGAAAACTCTCTCAATTTATACTGATTAATTCTTCCCTGAGGTGAAAATAAATTGTGAGGTTACCACAAAATAAAAAAAAATAAATTTAAAAATATAAATAAAAAATAAGTTAAGTGTGAGATTATCATATAGTATAATTAATTAGCAGGACTACTATGAGTAAAGAGTCTTTGTGATTACAAGTAATGTAACAGAACAAGCTGGACACATCTCATAATTTGTGATAGTTCAAATGAAAAGTTAATCATCCAAACACAGTGCCAATCTGGAGGGCAATATTTCAGTAGTTCATAAATTAATATAAGCTAAATTAGGAAGACCATTTTGAAATTACAATTCCTACATTAGGACTTCTACATTTAGCTTCAGACAAGAAACTCTTATTAAACGTGCCTGGTTACTTTGTCCCATTGCTAAGCTTCTGGATGGCAGAGCAGGAAGCACCCAGTCACACCTCAGTATAAACATAAGAAACTGACAAGAACAGAGACTTGGCAAATCTTTATGTAGCCAAAGTTACAACTTATTTCTTATTCTGTGTTTTTATTGTCTACTTCTCAAATAGAAACCACTGCTCTTTATGTGGTATACCCACAGACTAGATCTTTCAGCAGAAATCCTCTCCTGCATCACTCTGATCCACAGTGCAATTCCTCTGCAGGTAGTCGAGAGAAAAACTAGGCTGGCAAAGGCTTCTGGAAGTCCCTTCCCATCTCTGTTCAGCTGCTCTGAGCCATGTCCACTTGAGCTCTGACTTTCCCAGAGGCTGGAGACTCTACAGCCTCCTCTGACAAATTCTCTTCTTATCAGCCCTTAGGGTGGAAAATTTTTTATGTTCTTATAAGAATTTTTTCCTTATGACCTACTAAGGTACTTGTGGTAACTGCTTCTGCCTTTCACCACGCACCTAAGAGCCTGCCTCCTATTTCTCTACAAATAGGTAAAGAATTTCTCTTCCACAAGTTATGGAGGCCTTGATCCTCAAGCCCTTCCACAGTGAAAAGCAATGGAATTACTTTTTCGTTGTTTATTTCGAATAAGTATTAATAAGTTCATCCACACTTTGCAAGAGGGAAAGGCTCCGTAAGTCAGGAATTAGTTACGAATGTCCCTTCCCCACCAAGACTTTCTCACAACCTGAAGTGGCTGTGAGAAAAAAAGTTATGAGAACTTTTCTCACAATACTCAAGTTATGAGTAAAGTTCGATGCTCTCAACTGAATAACGACGCAGAAAGCCAAATTTTTTTTGTTTTGTTTTTGTTTTTTTCTAAATCCCAGCACACGTCCAACGCTGTCCCACGTCCAGCACTGTCCCCTCCTCGGGCGCCACACGGGACCGGACGCGGATTTAAACGTTCTGCCCCAAAGGGAGCGAGCGGCAGGAGCAGCCCCAAAACCCAAGCCCACATTTTCGCCTGAAGGCTTCGGCGACCGGCTGGCCTCACACGGTGCGCCCAAGCCGCCTTCCCTCCGCCTCTGCCCAGCGGGACGGGAGCCCCGCCGCCGCCCCCTCCCGTGATGGTTCCCGCTCCCGTCCCCGGGACGGTCCGGCCGGCGGGCACGGCTGGGAAAAGGGAAGCCGGCGGCGCCTCGCAAAGCGGGGGGACCCGTCGGGCGGCGGCTCACCGTGTGGCAGCGCTTCCTGCAGCAGCAGCAGGCTGAGGAGCACCCAGAGCCGCATGGCGGGAGCGGCCCGGGCGCGGCGGCGGCGGGGCGGGCGCGGCGCGGGGCGGCCCCGGGGCGCCTCGGCGGGGAGGGGCCGGGGCCGGGCCGCTCCCGCCGCCACCCGCCCTGCCTTGATGGAGACCCGGGGTGCGCAGCGGAGCTGCAGCCGCAGGACGTTCGGGGACAGCCGGGGACGGCTGTTCTGGAAGCAGCTCCTCGGTGCCAGCTGCCCCTCGCCAGACGAGGCTCTGCAGAGGGCCGGTGGGGCCTGCAGCCGGGCGGGGCAGCGAGACCGCACGGGCTGTACCGCGGGTGACCCCGGGGCTGCACTGAACAGTGCTGGCCTAAGACAGCAAAAGTGTATTTTTCCGTCAAACTGTGGCATTCGTATCAGCCTGCCACACCGAAAGCCACCTCACTGTGGAACAGAGAGGCGGTCTCTCTCTGGACACAGGTGAAGCACACTGAGACGGCGCAGGTCCCTCTCTGCCGCTAGCAAAGAGATGAAGGTGGTGAACTTCATGTCTGCCGCATGTGTGTTTCCGTTCACAATGAGCTGTAAAAAGCCATGCCTTGAAATTCGAGGGTTTCCTTGTAGGAGAAGGAAGAGGAAAATATGACTGGAGGGGCCACAAAGGTAGATGCAAGGCAGGATTGGATTTGAACGGGGGAAGAAATAATGGCTGTCAGAGATCAAAGGCAGACCCCACAGGAGACAAAACCACAGTCCAATGTGAATGAAAATAAATAAAAATCGTGTCCCTGACCACAGCTCCAGGGCGACCGCAGATATGAGAGCAGAATATTTACAGATTACTTTAAGGAAGCCTAGGCTCCATCTGCATCCACACAAAAAGTTAGAAGGTCCATGCACAGCGCTCCCCCGCCCTCATAAATACACACACATGCAGAGTTTGGAGACTTGCTTGCCTGACCCTGCTCTGAGAATTCACTCTGGGGTACTTGGTTAGCATAAAGAAGCCAGTAGGGCCCAGGAGTGGAGTAGGATGATGAAATTTCATTATCTCTTTTTCATTCTGTTATCAGTGTATCATAAACATGTCATCCATTACCTGTAACAAAATTTTTAAAATACTATTTTGGTTGCTACAGGATATTTTAAAAGTGGTTTCCCCTTGAAGCAATTAGAATACCAAGTATTATATCTGAAAAGGTTATCAGTCTTTGGTTTAATGTAAATGAATCTCAGAGACAACTCAGAAAAGTTGTGTAGTAAATGAATCTCAGAGAGAACTCAGAAAAGTTGTGTAGTATAAACTGTAAATTTGCAGTGGAAATACAACTCCTGCTTATGATGAAGAGTGCGCTTTTTTTCCCCCTGTCATTTGCAAAACTACTGGTTGCAATCTTTATGTGCCTTCCTAGGTGAATTTTCCCTTTTGTTTTCACACACAGGGTAGGTCAATGGTGTCTGAGCTTCAAGTATTAGTGTATTATGGAAAATATGGTAATAGCACATGGAAATAACACTCAGACTGCATTAATTTTAAGACATATTTAAACTGACATATTCCTTTTACCTATGTATACAATGTATACGATGAAAGTTATTTTATGAATTTTACTCTACCATGGGTTTGCATGAAAGACTTTTTCATTTATAGCCATCAGAACAGCTAATGTAAATCTTCATGTGAGGAACCGAGTCCTCCACATGAGTAAGCTGATAGATTAAAGTAATATTTTAAATGTGATTACATGCTTGCAGAATGACTTGTCCTCATTTAAATCAGTGGCCCTATTCCACTGCTTCATGGGACCAAGATTTTCAAGACCAGTCTTAGTATATCTGTATGTACAGTAAGGTGATTATTAATAATTTGAATACTGTTATATGATTCCTTATAAAGAATATACCTCAGAAGAAATACTGTTATAACTACTTTTAAGTCTGTGAACAAAGACAACTACTCAAATGTCTTTGAAAACAGTGCCAGATGATAATCTTGCTCTGTAGTAGGGCTCTGTGTTCAGACCATTGTAGTCCATTGCCTAGATACATGCTTTTATTCTCTTGCTAGTCTCGCAGTACTATCAAAATTGATGAAGGTTTTTGGGTTGGGTTGTTTGGGGTCCTTTTTGGGTTTTGGAAGTTTTTTCTTTTTTCAGGATTGGGTTGGGGGGGTGTTGTTAGTGTTGTGGTTAGTTGATTTGGTTTGGGTTTTTTCCACAAAAAGGGAACAAGGAGACAAAAATGAGCTTATTTGTCCAACTCTGCGGTCGGGTGAACACCAGGACAAGGCCTGGTGCTTCAGAAAGTTGAGCATGAAGCTGAGGGCCACTCGCCCCCTCTGGAAATCAAACCTAACATCATCTCTGGTTTGGCAGTGTAACACAAAATGCCCAAATCAAAGGCTGTTATTCTCTGTTCCCTCAATACAGTGCATACAATGTTATCATGTTATTTATTTTACATGCACTCTGATTTGTGTAATATCATGACACGAGACATCTGGCATACTCATGACGTTAAGTTACTGCATTATTTTAGTGTTAACTAAAACAACAGTAGTGGTTAAAGTTACAGCTGCTGTATGAAAGACATACAAGTGATATTCAACTTTATTTAAAAATATGGAACAAATGCACTATTGTTATCCCACAAAGCATGTTTTACAGTAAATGAGGAGCAATGTAATTCCCATTAAAATTTGGAACTAAGGTAACTAAAAATGTCACTGGTAACAATTCTGGGGGAAAAGCACCACATTCTTAAATACAAGCAATTTTACATTCATAAAAATTCAAGACTTTTCATTCTAGTAGAGCACTTCAAAGAAATACAAATTTGTAGTTTAAATTGCATCATAATCATCCTATCTACACTTTGAATGCTCAGCAGCACACAATACAGAAATAATGACTAAAATGTACATACAAACAAAAAGAAAAGATAGATATGAATGCTAATGTTTTATAAAATGATTCACACATAATTGTTTTTAAAGATATGTAACACATATTTCATGCTTTATTTCTGGTACCACAGAAGAAAAAAGCTCTCCTAAATATTCAAAGCCTCATGTTCTAACTCCAACTAAACTTGTTGAAGCTGGGGTTGACCTTGTACAAGGTTCATGAAAACACAGAAAAACAATTTATCCAACTGACAATAAAAAAATATATACACATACAGTTCTTTGTAATGCAGGTCTGCATGTCTATGCACAGAAATCCTTCAACTCAGCTCATGTAACAAGTTTGATTTCTAAGATCAAACGGAAAATAGATCAGCACCGGGTAAAGGCATCATATTTAGCTTTGAAAAAGTCCAACTATTAAAAATGCAGAGGTCCTCAAAACATACCAGAAAGAAATACTAAAGGTACAGGAAATTAAAAACAAACACAAAGATCCTATACTACAGGAAATACCACCCGCTCTTTCTGTAAAATTTGTATTTGCTTAACACTGAGTAACCTCAGTGCCTTCAGTGGACATACTGCTATTCGTACAGACTTCCCAGCGTGTCCAGGAAGCATTAGGGCCTAAGAGCATTAAAAAGGTGCTTTCATTTTCTCTTTATACTCAAGTAAGACACATCAGACTTCTTGTGAATTAAATTCCTACTGTAAAAAAATGTGTCTCAGTGTCAAAAGCTTCATACCCAATTGCACAGTCCCACACAGGTTTCCTGCACTGTCACCCTCTCAAGATGCTTCTGGCACATTGATATTGGCACTTATTAAAAATTCTATGAAAACACTGTACCTTATATTTCTTAAATATATCTCCATTTTTTTCATAAATTTTAGGGGAAAGGTGACTAGACTTGTAAATTTATCATGTAATAAAATACAGAATATATATTTAAGCTTTACCAAGCTTTGCCTCTAAATTCATTGTATCATTGAAAGTTTCTGGATGACACAAGTCAATTCCTGCTTAAGTAACTCTGTATCACTAAGATTGACATTTATTGCTGCTGGTTCTCCAGCAGCAGGTAATAAAAATGGCTTTAACACTTGGCAACATAAGCACAATATGACAGATTTCAGGAATCTGACCAGCATTTGTTGTGCAGGAAAAAGCATACTATTATTAACAGAATAGTTTTAGCCATGATAACAGACAATGAAATCTAAGTTACCACATAAAAATCCCATTGCAGAATGAGGACTGGGATACCACAGGAAGACCACTTTAGTTAACATGAATTATTCAGAAATGTTTTATAACTCCTATACATCAGAACAAAAATATTTGTTCTGTTTTAAATATACTTTCGCTTACTTTCTTAAAGCCAACTAAGGAAGAATAATTCCTTTATCTAATGGCATATCCTGAATGTCCCAAAAAAACCCCACCATCTTATAAGAACTTTTTTTCTGCAAAGGAAATAAAAGCCCAATAAGTTACCTTCAAAAGTAGATCTTTTGTATTAATACGTACCATTATTACGCACAGAACAATTTACAATACCAACAACTGTGTTAAAAAATAACAGTTATTTAGTTCCAATGGACTTGTGCTTTCAGCTGATCTTTCAGCAAATGCAGAGATACAGCAAATGTGAGAAAAGGATCAGGATTTCTTGCATCCATTGCTTCTGTGTAAGGACTAGCAAGGCATGTCCTTTGCTTCTGCAGAGTCCTGCTAAAGCATCTGGAATTTTAAAACTGCATATACAAATGCACATCAAATTTACCATAAATATCTTACTTCTGGCTTGTCTGTTTTCACTCAGCCACTGACTCATAATGACTATACACACATATAAATAAGCTTTCTGCAGTTGAAGCAACTAAGACTACTTAATGCCTTTTCTTTAATTTCATTTTATATCTCATTAGTTATGTGGATAGTTCTGGTGCTGCAGCTCCTCCCATCTGTCTTAGCAACACTTGTACAGGTGCATCCTATTATTTTAAAATAATTAATTTTGCTAACAAGTGGAGAGAAATATTCATACAAGTGAAAGGGGAATTTGTCAATACACAAAGGGCTGACACATCCATCAGGTAAATAAGCTAGAAAATGTACTGCCTTAGCTAGCACTTGCTTTAGCCAG